TATTTAAGTTTTCTATAGCTATTTAAGTTTTGTACAGCTATTTAAGTTCTCTATAGCTATTTAAATTCTCTACAGCTATTTAAGTTTTCCATAGCTATTTAACTTTTTTCTAGCTATTTAAGTTTCTCTATAGCTATTTAAGTTCTCTACAGCTATTTAACTTTTGCGTAGCTATTTAAGTTTCTCTATAGCTATTTAAGTTTTCTATAGCTATTTAAGTGTTTACATAGCTATTTAACTTTATCATAGCTATTTAAGTTTTGTATAGCTATTTAAATTCTCTATAGCTATTTAAGTACTTACATAGCTATTTAAGTTTATTTTATCTATTTAAGGAATTGTATGGTCTTGTAGTTTCTCTTATCTATTTACGTTTATTATTGATATTTAAGTATTTGGGTGACCTTTCAATTGTTTCCTACACAGTTTACTATCTATGTATCTGAAATCAAGCTTGACCTATCTATCGGAGTGTATTTCAGATTTTGCTTTTTAGGAGTGTTACTATAGCCAAATCATCAGATTGAAGCAGTTTGAATAGATGAGAAAAAGATGAAACAGAATTGATGTCGCAAGTCAACGTAAGATGCATGACTTTCCCCCATTTACTCACCTGTTAGAGCAAGGGGGGGGGGGGTGAAAAAAAAAGAGAATAGTGTAAAAAAATCTGCATTGTTGTGTTAAATTTGTTTAGTTGCTGTAATGGTAGACCTACAATGGCGATCTAGAAACCTTCACAACTGTAGGAAATTAATTACAATTATTAGTGTATGACTACTGTTTCGAGAAAGCGGGTCTGTATCGAAGGCATCTATTATAGATTACATAGATATTCAAGATTTAGATCGATATGGATGTATTTCAATTGCTACGAAAGATTCCAGTAGTTATACAAATACGTGAATATCTATGCAAATATTTAAATAGCTACGGAAAGCTTAAATAGCTATGTAAATACTTAAATAGCTATAGAAAACTTAAATAGCTATGTAGATACTTAAATGGCTATAGAAAATTTAAATAGCTATGCAAGTACTTAAATAGCTATGAAAAACTTAAATAGCTATACAACACTTAAATAGCTATAGAAAATTTAAATAGCTATGGAAAACTTAAATAGCTATGTAGATACTTAAATAGCTATGGAAAACTTAAATAGCTGTAGAGAACTTAAATAGCTATAGAAAATTTAAATAGCTATGCAAAAGTTAAATAGCTGTAGAGAACTTAAATAGCTATGATAGAGTTAGATAGCTATGTAAGTACTTAAATAGCTGAATATTTATTTAAAAAGTATCTCTTTTGAGAAGCTACGGTCCACACTAGACTTCACCTAGATCCCACCTACACCCTATCAATGGTCCCAAGTATTCTATTATTCGTGTATGATATTGATATGAAAGACATCAGTGTCTGAATTTTGTATCTCAAAATTAAATGACAAGATAAAATCGATACTTTCAACGTCATATCTTAATTTAAAATAGATTCATTGTAGAAAATAAATTTTTCTGTAAATGAAGACGTAATTATTATTTCGTAGTCATTAATTCATATAGATATTGTACATATTTACGAGTAATATAGTTCAACATCAAAAAATTTTAATTTACAAAATCAAGAATCAAAGCATGAATGTCCGGCATAGATCCAAAATTGTACACTTCATGTGATTCCACTGATACACTTTCTAAATCGAACATAGATATGTCCGGTATAGATTCAAAATCGTACACTTCATGTGGTTGCACTGCTACACTTTCTAAATTGAATATAATTTCATGCAGATTCGTTGAAAGTTCTGGTAATAATTCAATAGTCTTGATAATATGTAGACGGATAAGTCCTTTACATTCATCAAAATTAGCTCGTTGAATATTAAGAGCAATTAAATTAACTTGGTTCATTGGGTTATTCATGTCTTTAGAAGGAAAATTAAATTTATAGTTCATAAGTCTTATACGATCAATAGACAACATACCTTAGTCCTTGTGCAAGGAGAAATAAAGTTAGCTTTAAAATGCATGACCCTTTTATATCTTCTACTGCCGCACCTATTTTATTGAGAACATCTTATTTGATTCCTTCATGATTCCGTACATGAGCGTTGAATAACGTAAGTTTCACGTCTACGTCTACGTCTACGACTACGGCAACGGCCTCTGTAGTTTTTTTTAGTTAAAAGAAAAAACAAGTCGCGACTCCTCATAAAATACCACTACTTTTTCTTTCTCTGTTTTTACCAACATGAAGCATAGGTTAAATAAGACGCCCATGTAGAATATATTCGCATTACGAGTGACAACAAGTTGAAAAGGAATTACGTCATTCATAGAACGATTGTAATTAGTGATTAATCGATGTAAAAGATAGATTCAAGTTCTACGATAGTATATTTTCTTAGGCAAAAAATATTATGATAGATACGCTTCAAGTTACATGGGTATTTTCATTTTTATTCTATTTAATGTTGAATATTATATAAATCATACATTTTATTTATTTTTAGTCTTCATAAATAAAAAAATACATCGAAGAACAAAAGGTTAAAATACGACCTTGTAAACATGGCAACTTTTTGTTTTATTTATCTCGAATGATATTAATTTTAATTTAATATGGAAAATAGGTCAACACTTTATTTTAATAAGAAACAAGATCTCTATAAATCATTTAAATATAAAAAATTATTTTAAATGTCTAAATTATGTAGTTCAAATCATAATTTTCATTAATCATCTCAACTTGTTGAATCAATCTCAAAAATCAACAGAAGAAATCATTAGACATACAAAAGTTTTCATTCAACAAAAAAAGAAATTTTATTACAACAATCATAAATAATTTATATGACTGCGTCCTATAATGTTGTACCTGCTGATTTTCCGATTAAAGATTGAAACTATCAGAATAAAAATTAACATAATTTAGGAGATCATTAGAACTATATAATATATAAAGAAAATTTTGATAAAATTATATTCTATTTGAAATTTTCTATATTTATATCGAAGATAACATTTACTATGATACGTCTATCAATCAGCTGATTTTCTCGATATAAATTTAGCCTTTAATTTCGACAATATGTTACCAGTGATATATATATTCCTCTAAAATATTCGATTCAAACGAAGATCTTCTAATGTTCTATTAATGATTATAAATCTCATTGTTGAATTACTTGGAAAATATGAAAAATAAATAAAACATTAAAAATGAATATACTGATGGAATTAATCTTTCTAGAAAGTCAGACTTCTCTCGAACATCTATAAAATAAAACAGCTCAATGAATGCTGTTAAAATGTTCATTCATAAGTTATTCGCTTAATATCAAATTTTTTATAAGAATTTCAAATCGATATATACATTATAAACTAAATGGCAGACAATTTTTTGCCAAAAAATTGTAATAACATTTCTTTTTAAGTGTCTATTCTATCTTCATATAAAAAAAAGAAAACTAAGACGAAATTTAATTTCATCAACAGCTGACGTTTCATTGCTTAAAAATGAAATCGAAAGTTTACTAAATCTTAACGATACTATTCATGTAATACAGAAGAAGATACTTTTAACGTCGCTTTATTCTACGTCTGCTAATTCTCGTCGAAGTCTTTGCCTTCCAAAAGATCTAGAAAGCGTACCTAATGATTACGTCTCCGGATAATGATTGATTCAAATCAATGAATTTCTGTAGAAATGCTAAGAAAACAAACTAAACGTTATTTAATGGACTGAATTCCAGTCTCGAGACCGCAGGAAAGAGAAGTTGTCCAGATCCAGATCGGGACAAAGAGAAAAAGTTTTCTCAAACAGAACTAAAGATTATAGGTAAATATTCTATGGTTTTAAGCGAATTATGTTATAAATCATATCAATTAAAACATAATTCAAGAGAAATGACTAAAGCCCATCGAATCCAAAATTTTCAGGCTCGGACCCAGAACCAACACGACGGATGATCCAAAAAAGTGCTAGTCGCCAACTAGATAAATCCAAAACAAGTATTAAAAATTTTTTAAATGTAAATTCTAGAATAGTCTTCTCTACATCAGGACTAGGATCAACTATTTTTTTGGTTCGGCACATATCTATTTGTGATTGAATATCTTAATTTTATGTATGGTGTATTTTTGTTCGCTGTCTTTTTTCTATTCTCTTCATCTCTTCTTTCGTGTGGATCAGTACATTTCTGGTAAAACAAACATGTATTTAAAAAAAAACAAAAAAGAAGTAGATACATTCTTTCTTAGTAAAAATGACAAATTTTTCTTGATTAACTTTATTTTATATAAACAAGCAAACAATATTAGATTAAAAACATCTTCAAAGTATCATTTCATCAAAGAAAAAAAACAGAGCTTATATAGTGAAGATTTTTATCATATTAATATCGAATTGCTTTTGTCTTTTTGTTTTCAATGTATATAATAGATTTATCTGAAAAAAAAAATAAAACAAGTTAAAAAAATTATTTTCTTTTTTTTTTTTGTTTTTGTTTTTCAAATGTTAACAATATATCGCCTATTACAATTGAATAACAAAACATTAGCATACATTCAAGTGAACAATAAATTTACGACAAGACAGTAAACATACTTGTATACATAAATTCACGCAGCTATGGGCAAAGTTTGTTGCTGTTGTTGTTCTCTAGGAGGCCGTCTTAAACTGGAATGAATGTTAGTAAAAATCATTCCTTTAATTTTCTTTTGTTCTTTTTTTTTTTTTTTTTTTGTTTTTGAAAGACTTAAACATACGAGCGTCGTTCTTGTGGAATATGCCCAACATCACCAATACCATAACAAATAACACGACCATCAAATGTACAAACAAGATGAGTAATTGAACAATGAAAAAGATTAAAACGAAGCCAAGCATCAGCTGGTATTTGCAATGCACTGTAATAAAAACAAATTATAGGAAAAGAAATTTCATTGAAAAAAAGAAAATATAATCAATCGTACCGACAAACAAAATAACGAATAACATTAGCATGACATATAATAAGTTCATGAGAATCTTCTGTTTGATTTGGAAATGGTCGATGAATATAACGATGAAAAACTCTTTCCATTCGTTCAGTTTCTAATTCAAGACGACCCTTATATATATATATTAAAAATTGATTTATTATATATGAAAAAATTTTGAAAAATTCAAAAATTTCTTTAATCCTACTTTAGCAATATCATCAATAAATCTTCCGGCTGGTTCTGGAAGAAATGGAAATCTATTAGATGAATAAAAATAAAATTTATTGAAAAAGATTTAATTTTTACCCTTCATTAAGATCAATATCTTGTTCAACTTTATTGAATCTTAAATGTTTATTAATAATTGTTGCTGTTTGAATTGCACGAATTAAACCTGATTGTACAAGTCGAGTAAATGAAATATTTGATTCTGCTAATGCTCGACCAGCCCAATCAGCTTGTTCATTACCTAAATATTCAATATAATTCATTTATAAAATTTTATCTTTTCTTTATACAAACCTAATTCAGTTAATTGTTTTTCATTTTCAATTTTCGTTTTCGTTTGATATTGTCCATGTCGAATAAGATAAATATGTCGTACAACTCGTGTTTTGTTCATATCCTGATGTCGACTATGAAAAAAATTAATACATAAAATCAAATAATACATTAAGAAAAACAAATCTAAACTAACCCATCCCAATTCCAATCCCATCGTTCACTAGATCGTATTGGACATGAAAGTGATTGTTGATCTAATTTAATTAAATCATTACTATTATCATTTGGTGTTTGAGCAATATTTGCAGCAAATAGAACACCATATCGTTTTTTTTCATCAACAAGAAAATAAGCTGATGCTGTCGTACATGCTACACCAATAGTTGTAGCAGCTAATTTAATAAAAATATGCATGATGAATAAACTAATGAAAAAGTCAAAAAAAAAGAAATGTAAGAAAGTTTATTTTATAACATCATATCTTTTGATTGGTTTATTCATATATGAATAAAACAACCATCTATGAATGCATTAATGTATAAACTAAATGCATTTATTGGTTGTCATAGATTTGAATAATTCTGATGGAGAATATTAAAATAAAATCATCCTTTAAAAAAACAAAATTCTTTTCTTTTTTTTTTTCTTTAAATAAATTATTATTTAAATATGGCTAAACGACGTCTTGAAGATGCAATTGTTGCATCACGTGCACTTAGTGTTGGAATTAAATTAATTGATCAATTTCGTAGTGCAACAAATTTATTTTCTCATGATGTTCATTATCATTCAGGTATATTTTCATTACGTTTTTCTGATGAACTCGATCAAATAGCTGTTGGTTATGGTGATGGTTCAATAAGATTTTTTTCTGTTACAAATGGTAAACAAACAAATGAATATCTTCCAAGTAGTTTACCACCACTTGAACATTTACGTCGTCTTTCAATGGATTTACCTATAATGTCACTTAAATGGCATCCATTAGTAACACATCTTTTATTTGCTGCATGTGTTGATGGTACTATAAGAAAAATTGATAAACAAAAAAATGAATTAAATGTTATTGGATATGAACCTGATAATGAATTAACATCTATGGATTTTTCATCTGATGGTAAATATTTTGCTACTGTTGGAAAAGATGCACATATACGTATATATGATAGTGAAAAATGTTCAATTATACATAAATATCATAATCAACGTACTGATACACAATTAGAACAAATACATAGTCAACATGATAATACTGGTGAAGATTTAACATGTACAACTGGTCATTATTATCGAGCATTTGCATGTAAATATCATCCTGATCATAAAGATATATTATTTACAGGTGGTTGGGATAATATTGTTAAAATATGGGATATACGTCAAAAAGAAGCTATGAATGAAGCTATTATTGGGCCACATATATGTGGTGAAGGTATTGATGCACGTGGAAATGAAATTTTAACAGCATCATGGACACGTTCAAATTCACTTCAAATATGGGATTTTCGTACAATGAGTCTTTTAAAAACACTTAATATACCTAATGCTGCTGATGAAAAAGGTGAATTTATGTATTCAGCTCAATTATGTGATAATCGTACTGTATTAGCTGTTGGTAGTGGTACATGTGCATGTCATGTTATTAATATAGAAACAAATCAAGAAATAGCTCGTTTACCATTATCAAAACCTATTTATGCACTTGATTCAATGTTAGGTGGACGAGTTTTTGCTTTCGGTGGTCTTGATAAATTTTGTATAGCACATATGAAAGATAATTAAATCCAATGTTGATTTATTTGTTTCTTTTTTCTTTTTTAATCTCATGTATTTTATTTTTTTTTTGGTTTGTGAATTTAACATTTTTTTTTCTTCTAATTTTAGTAATAGCCTTGAGCACTTTTGAAATCAACGAGCTTATAAAAACAAGAAAAAAACATGTTTTTTTTTCGTCTATTTTAGATTTATTATGGCTTGGGTCGAACGAATGTTACCATCGTAGGTTTCAACTTAGTTAATATGCAGTACATATTAAACATCTCGCATCACTATTGTTGTTTTAAGTCGTGTATTGAAATTATACAACATTAATTCAATTCGACTATATGTCCGTATAGTAGAAATCGAGCACTGTAAGTGTATATTTCCCTGGCGGAAATAAGTGGTACATCTTATTTTTTCGATTATTGCTCCATACTATTATCATTTGATCTCAAATTTATACGATAGACACATCTTTGATTGCTTAATATATTGGGAAAATTTCAGCCTTATAGAATGAGAATCCATTGAGAAAAGTACAAAAATGTTTCAATACACCCATGTATCAATGTAAAGAAAATTTGCTGTTTTCTTGTTAAATTTTGTTTGTGTTATTACGGACTTTTTGGATAGATTTCTTCGCAAAACACTTAGAGGAAACTTATGGAAGTAGATTCATTCATTGAAGGTTAGTGTTATTGTAAACAGAAAAAAAAACAAAATTTAACAAGAAAATAGTAAATGTTCTTTACTTTGATACATGAGTACATTAGACATTTTTGTATTTTTCTCAACAAATTCTCGTTCTATACAGCTGGAATTTTCAGAATATGTTAAGCAATCAAATATGTATCTGTGGTATAAATCTGAGATCAAATGATAATAATTTGAAGAAATAATCGGAAAAATAAGATGTACCACTTATTTCCGCCAAGGGAATATACATAGGCTAAAACATGACAAAATCGCTCTATAACCTATGTAGCAGTAAAATGCTTTTTTCGTTTATAAAACTCAACTCAATCGAAATATAAATATGATATTCGTAATCACCGCGCAAAATTACATAGAAATAATATGCTTTTAAGGATATTTGAGAAGAAAAATGTTTTTCAGATCCTGAGAGGTACTCCGGGGGGGGGGGGGGGACAAAGATCGTACTTTGACATGGCGCAAAACTAAGTCATAGGAAACATTTCTAGTAATCCTCCGACACCTCTCAGATAGATAAAAGTAAAAATAATCTTGAGCAAAAAAATGGCCTTACTGCAACATGTTCTTTTGTCCTGTTATAAAGAAGGTCTCTGACTCACACCTTCTCAATTTCGAGTAGGTCACCTGATTCGGCAGGATTCTTTATAACGATAATATCATTTTGTCTTATTTTCTTAGTACTGAAATTTGTTTTGTGTTTTATTGCATTGCATATGCCAGGTTTTATCGTATTAAACAAGTGTACATGTATAATATTCGACTTCTACTATACAGACATATAGTTGAATTAAATTAATGTTTTGTAGTAGTTTCAATGCACAACTCAAAACAAGAACAATGAAACGAGCCTTTTGACGTATACTATTATAATCCAATAAAGTTTTCTTTGTGTTCTGTTAACAGTGATCAAGATGAACAATTTGAAAGTTGGCGTAAAGAATTTCAACAAGAACGTTTATTACGTATTGTTCGTGAACGAGAAATAATGAAAGAAACAGCTAAAAGATGCAAGTAAATAAGATTTTTTTTTTGTCAAAAATATTTTTTTTAATTGTTAATTGAATAAATATATTTATATTTTAAATAAAAGATCATATAAAATACGTGAACAAGAAGCTACTGATGCACTTGAACGAAAACGTCAAAATATTTTAGCACAACGTAAAGCAGCTAATGTACAAGCAACAATGCGATTTCAACGTAATCTACCAGGATTTACTGTTATGGGTAAATTTATTTATTTATTTATTTATTTTTGTATTAAAAATTTAATCCATTATTTTAAAGATCAAGATAAATTTGATCGAGCTATTGAAACTATAACAGGACGTCAATTATCTAATAGATCAACACCAAGAAGATTATCAATGCAACAACAACAACAACAACAACAACGAGCAAAATCAAATACAATACTTCGACGATCAATTTCAATGGAAGAATTAGGATCAAGACAACAAATCTCAAATTCTCATAGAATTGATCAAAGAAATCAAATAATATTAAATCGAACAAATTCTGTTACACAAGTACCACAATATGTAAATCAAGTTCAATATACATCACCTTTACAAGAAGTTCAACGTCGTGTATTAAATGATTTTGCTGCACAAATTCAATCAACTCTTAATCAAAATGAACAATTTAATGAAACAAATACATGGGAACATGAAAGTATGGATAGTCTTGAAACATCAAATCATTTTCATCCACAACAAATAATTGCACCAACAAAAATCACTGGTCCAATTATACGACCAAATCATGTTGTAAATATTCAAACAAAAAAACTACAACAATCAATAATAAATAATTCAACATTACAATCTATAACAAATCATGATCAACAAGAAATGTTACGACGAAGTTATCATGAAAGTTTTTTTGTTAAAACTACACCTGTTACAGGTGATGAACAAGTTACAGCATGGTTAGGTGTTAATAAAATTTCAACAACAACATCTAATAAAAATATTGATATTATGGGAAAACCTGTATCACTTGATGGAAATGATTCAGAAATAAATGGAAAACGAAAAAGTATTCTTAAACGATCACCTTCTGTTGATAGTAATTCAGCTACGAACATAAAACCAATAGTAACAAGAAGAAAACAAACAAGTGCTCCACAAGTACGAACTGTTGGTGATAAAGCTCATGTTAAAGATAGTTTAGAAGTAATCAATGCTAAATTATTAAAAGAATTAGAAATACAGGTAAAGAATTTTCATATTTTTATTTTTATCACACAAGATGATGTGAAAAAAAAATTTAATAAAAATGTATTTGTGATTGGTTTTTTCTATAATATTAAGCAATTAGCTCAATTGCAGATGGTATATAGTTAGACAATGCGTACGGGAAACTTAAGCGATTGAGTGTAAGAGAATTCTATGTCAGACCGACCTTCTCTCCAGAACTATAGTTAGTATTAATTGTAGAGAAGATGCTGAGCTAATCAATTTGCCACTAGGTAATACCCTATACCGCAAGGCAGCCGAAAGACATAGGTATTCTTTCTTCCTTCCCAGATAATTTTGTCGAAGGTATTTTTTAAAAATGCCATTGTAAAGAGCATGAAACTCTGAGGAAAATGAAAGGTTGTCGCATTTTCTACGACCCTTCCTTAGAAAGCAAAGAGTATCACAAACACCGAAAGAAGGTATATTTTAGTCGATTTTTCTGATACTTTTAAGTTTTTAAGAGAAGCTCGTAGAAAATACGGCGACTCCTTATATTGTTCAGAATTTTGTGCTCTTTAAAATATTATTGTTAGAAAAATAGTTCTGACACATGAAAACTATTGTGTCCAGTGTTTTTAGAAGTCTTGCCATCATAGCTCATTTTTGTGAAATCGTGCTATAGAATGCATTGGACAAAAAAAAGTTTCATTAGCTATCAAAATGTTTGGATTTGAGCTAATTGATTAACACTATACAGAAAAAAACAATCAAAAATACGTTGTTGTTAAACTTTTTTTCTACCATCTCATATTAACTATATTTATGAACACTCAATAGTTTTGTATTGATGCAAGTCAATCGAAGCTTTTGTAGAACCAAACCAAGAGTTTATATTTTATTCGAAAAATCTTTCAATTCAAATGCAAACTAAATAACCTTCATTCCTTTAGAACCGATATAGTAGCGTAATCAAAAAGAAAGTTTTAGAAGGAAGGGAGACTCAGTGTTTCTTACTATATTTGTAGAGAGAGTAGAAACTCTAGGATAATATTTTGAGACACGATCTAAAAGAACTATTGAAGTATTAAGGTAAGAATGTGGATCTTTCATAGACCGTGACAGATGTTGATATTCGATCAAAGATCATATATCAATAAAGTTCTCGTTGTAATATATGAACTACTTTCTTATTGCATTTCTAGACGATTAAGTAAAAAGGATAGTGAAAAAAGTATCCCAAATTAAATAGAATAAACAATATCAGCTACATCGTATTTCATATTTTAATCCTGCAGAGATTGTGCTAACAGCATTTCTTTTTACAGAAATTCTATTATCATTCAAATTCTAATATCTTTGTTTTTGAAAATTTATCTGATTTATTTAGAAAAAAACTGTTCGATTTGCACAAGATTCTAATAATGAAAGATGTGCATCGGATACACAACTTGTTAGAGAACCAGTTATTGGTATAGAAAATAAAAAAGAAAATGAAAAAAAAAATTCCTATAGAAAATATTTAGATAATGAACAAACATCACTACGTCGTGTACAATCAGCAGCATTGTTAACACCACCGAATCGTCAACCAATGAAGTAAGTTATTTATTTATTTATTCAAGTAATTTTTCACAATCCCATTTGAGATAAGCAATAAGTAAGATAAATTGACGAGGTTTTTTTTCATTAGTTTTATTTTTAATTATTGGTCTAAGACGATATTGATTAATTGATGCTGGAATTAAAAATGTTTCAATATAATTATATTGTCGTATTTGTTTTTGTTGATTATTATCAATTGTATTAAATTCTATTTCAATTGTATCACCTTCAACTAACATACATAAATGAAAACGATTTTCTGTTGATCGAATTATTTCAATAGATTCATTTGGTTCTATAATAAGACGTTGTAGATCATAAAAATGTAAATTATGTGTTGGTAAATGTTGTTCTTCATATTTATCTTGTTCAAATTTCATAGTTATAGGTTGACAACGAAGTTGTTCACCACGTCGATTAAATTTTAAATTTTTCATTCCATGTTCAATATTTAATGGACGAAGACGATCATCAAGATCTAATCTTAACCAATCATATAATTTAAATGTATATATATAAGGTGTAGCAGAAATTTCTAATACAACTTGATTTTCACCAGATGCATGAATTGTTTCATTAGGTATAAGAAAAAAATCATGAATATTTGATGGAATACATTGAATATATTTTTCAACATTTAATTTTTTATGTTCTCGACGACTTGAAAGTAGAGCTTGATGAAATTCTTCAGGATTAATATTATCATGAAAACCAAGATAAACATGAGCAGATAATTTTTCATCATTTTTATATTCTTCTTTCCAATGTTGTTTTGTTTCAACAATATAATATGTTTCATCTTGTGTTATTTTTTCTCCAAAATTTGTACGCATATACTGTAAATTTGGATGACATTGTATAGATAAATTTCCTCCATCCATTGTATCAAGAAAATCAAAACGTATTGGAAAATCATTTGAACCACCAAATAATCTATAATGTTTATCATTTCCAAGTATTCTATTTGCTTGTGAACTATAAAAAAGATCCCAAGAAAATTCTAGAAGATGATTATTTTCATCTGATAATATAATACCATTTTCTGGTGTAATCATTTCATATGACCATGCATAATTTTTTGATAATTGGGATATATTTTTACAAATTGATTTAAGCCATTGACCACCCCATGAACCTGCTTCAAACCATGGTCGTACACGTATAGGTACATTAGTAAGATATGCAAGTGCTTGATTAAATGTATGACCATGAATCCATGTTGGACAATGTGGTCTTTGACTATCAACATAAATAGTCATACGTGGTAAAAGTTCTTGTTTAAGTTTATTAAATATTGGATAATCAAGAAAATAAAGACATTTTTTTTCATACATAACTGATGATAATTCATAATCATCATTATCATTATTTGATTTTAATGAATTATCTTCTTGAATTGTTTCTATTGGTTTTAAATAAGAAAATGATGTTTGTGCTAAAATACGATAATAAAGTTCATTTTTAGTTAAATCAATATAAATAAGTGGACTTGTTTGATTTATAAATGAAGCACCAGGTCCAATAATAATACATGGATATGAAAGATTATTTTTTAAATAATTTAATTTATTTAAATCAATAAAATCATCTTTAAAATTTAAATTATTTGCTAATTTACCAAATATTGATTTTGAATATTGAAGATATAATTTTTGTTTATTATTTATATCGATTTTTAAAAATGTTCGAGTATCATAAAAAATTAATGATGATAAATTTTTTTTCTTTATTTTTTCATTATAATATTTATTTAATTCATAAGCATATTCATCAAAATATGTTCCAACAAATCCATCAATTAATAATATTTTATGTATTTCAATTAAACGAAACATTTCTTCATTTAATTGTTTATATCCTATACCAATATTACCTATAGGAATTTCATGACATGGATATAAATCATAATGATTTGTATTAATTGTTTTAATAACAGGTAGAAGATTTTGACAAGTTTGTCGAATAAATTTATTTTTTGATTTAAATAATATTGATAATTGTTGTTGAACAGCACCAAGACAAATCGTTTTTTCATATGATAAACTGAAATAAACTTGAACATTACAAGATTTTTTAAGAGTTATATTAAGATCATTTTCAATAAAATACCAAGCTTGTGCAATACCACCACCAATAACAATAAGATCGGTTTTAAATTTTTCTATATATGGTACTAAAAAATTTCCTAAACGTTGAGCAAATATTTGAAAAGCTTGTATAGCATTTTGATCACCATTCGAAGCTTGTTCAGTAAGAGAATGACCATCAATTATATTTGACTAAAATGATATTCATATACTTAGGGCATACCAAAAGTACTGGCAGTGACACTTTAATACCCTATAGTAGACTTTAAGAAACTTTCTTTCTATATAGTCTGATAGAGAAAAAAATGCTCTATCTTTCTATACTATTTGATCGTACTTCAACTAATCTCATAGTATTAAATTATCTATAAAACCAATTTCGGCTGGTTATATGCTGGTTGTAAGTTTTGCATTGCAGTTTTCGATTTCTTACTAGTTGTATTAATAACCAAAATATACTATAAGATGCAGTGTGAAAAGCTCTACAATTTGCATACGACCACTTATTTTATAGCTGCAATTTTTGTTTTCGAAATCGACAAAATTTGGAGCAATCAAATTGTAAAGATGCGAAAAAGACAATGTTTTCGATACACAACGAATTCATTTTTGTTATTTCATTGTTTATCACCTGATATGTTTTACCAAAAGAAAAACAAAATATACCACAAGATGCAGCGTGAAAAGCTCTACAATCTATACAGTAAAGCTTATTGTAATTGTTTTCAAAAAAAGGAAAATTCTATGCGACCAATTTTCTCAATACCAAAAATTTGATCCCTCAAAACTTTATCGATTTTGAAAGCAAAAAGTGCAGCTATAAAATAAATGGCCTTATGTAAATTGTAGAGCTTTTCACGCTGCATCTTATGGTATATTTTGGTTGTTCATACAATGTCTTGAGGGATTGAAAACTAGTCTGTTCTCACACGTTGTAATCTAGTACAACCAGCACATAATCAGCCGAAATAGGTTTTATGGATAATTTAATATTATGAGATTAGCTGAAGTACGATCAAATAGTATAGAAAGATAGAGCATTTTTTTCTCTATCAGACTATATAGAAAGAAAGTTTCTTAAAGTCTACTATAGGGTATTAAAGTGTCACTGCCAGTACTTTTGGTATGCCCTAAGTATATATATATTGTTTTGTATAATGAAAATTATTTTACTTTTTTATAAATATTTGATGATGATTGTTGTTGTTGTTGTTTATTTGTTGATACATCTGAATGATTAACGAATGATTCTTGTTGAAGAATTGTATTATAAATTTTAATTAAACCACGTGTTGAAAACCAATCATCTGCTATAGAATTTTTCTCATATGGACAATTCCAAAGCATTCCACCAGATGGAACATCAGAACGATTTATAATAATTTCACATCGATCAATAAATGTTGAACCAAAACCTGTACCAAGTGTTAAAGCAAGAATACGTTCATAATTTCTATTATAAACACTAATTGCTTCACCGATAGCAAAACATGTTGCATCATTATAGAATGAAATAGGTATTTCAGATAATTGTTGAATAATTGTTAATAATTTTGGAGAAAATTTATCATTTATTAGAGATTTTTCTGTTGAATTTATTTCCATATGATTAAAATATATTTTATGAGATGAATCATTCATATTATTTTGACTATAAAAATCACTATTTTCATATACACCACAATAATTTCTTATGTCTTTTATTGATAATTTTGAACATTGAATTTCTCCATTTATTGTTGGTACTATAGGAAAATTAAAAGATGTTTTATGTTTTATCAATGATTTTATTGTTATTTGTTTTGTTTGTTGTAATTTTTCAAGCATAATTTGTTTTTTTTCGACATAAGGTACATTTGAACATGATGATGTAGAATATTTAGTTTCAAATCTATTTTTCCAACGAAATATAAGTTCTCTAAGACCATCTTTAAATGATAAACGTAAATTAAGACCAAAAAAATTTTTACATTTCTGTAATTTTGTTGATTGAATATAACTTATACCACGTTCATAATCCATTGGTCCTGGTATACCACAAGTAATACCAATAATAGTATCATTTTGTTTATAATTTTTAATAAAATCTTGAAGAAGATCATCAATACAATCAATCCAAGTTGAAATAATTGAACGTGGATCATTGTTTATAGTTTTAATATATGAACGTGTATATAATTGATCTCTTTCGATAGATAAATTTTGATTTGTTAATTGTTCAATACGTATAAGTGCTGCTGTTACATGACTACCTCCTATATCAAGTCCAATAACTAATGATGACATGATGAATAGTGTTACGAAAGAACAAAAGAAAAAAATATGTGTTGTTAGTTGAAGGTTGATTCAAAAAGTAGAAGACATTGCCTTATCTTTTATTGACTCTAACGAATAATGATAATATTTTTTACCGTTTGAGTTTGTTGCTTACTGTTAAAATGTATTTTACATGTGATAGTAACCACAAAAAAAAAAAACAAGAATAATAAACTTTGTTCTATTGTTTGACAAGGACAAATAGGAAGATTCAAAGTTACATAGCGAAGAGAAAATTGATACAATTTAAAACGAAAGGACATTATTGTTATTTTCATAGATTAAAGAAAATATAATGTAAACATTAAATTAATATAGATAGTTAGTTTAAGAATAAGAATTTTTTGCTTTTGTTATACTGATCGTATAAAGTTATTTAGGTTTTTAGAAAAATATTACATAGGAATTTTATAATAAGAATATGTTGAGTTCATTTGATTTGCAGTTAAAAAAAGAAAGTATTTCATAGGCTATTTGAAAACATTTTTAATTTTGTTTTTAATTAGAGTAATTTATCAATGATTTTCTATTTTAATATCAAATAGTAATAACACAAAGTTAAAACAGATTTTATTAAGTATCACTTTGATGTATAGCAAGCACATTTTAACCAAAATGTTTAGAAGTCAATGACTAAAATGATAAATTAAGATGTGGATGAAATAAATACTCACATCCATAAGAAAAAGAATTATCTTAATTATATGTTGTTCCTATCTGTAGTTAGAACGAATACCACTAAATTACGATCTCATTCACTCTTACCTATTCTCGACGTGGTTTCATTTCCGATTAATATCAATTGATGGATCATAAGAATTTGAAACTATGAGATCTTAGTCCCAACTATTCTGTTATAAAAGTTCTCGATAAAAAAATCAATATTTTTAGAATAAAGGTATTCATCGAAAGCTCTCATCGATGCGTTTGAGCTTATCTGACTTGAGACCAGATTCAGCATTTTTACAGGTCAAAGATTAAAACTTAATAATGAATTTTATTGTTAAACTTCAAAGTCAAATACTATGCATTTGTGAAGTCACGGCCTGAAGAAAGAAAACAAAATTATTTAAACACGATCTAGTACTCGACTTCGAACTTCGACTGTAAAAATGCTGAATGTGATATTAAGTCCAATAAGTTTTGATGTATCGATAAGTATTTTCAATAAATTTCTTTATTCTAAAAATATTAATTTTCTTGTAAAAACTTGACTGAGAGTGAATCATTCGAAAATATATTTGGTTTTTTTTTAATCGACGACTTTTGTAATAGAATAACTGGAAGTAGAATGTCATAATTGCAAATTCCTATACTCTATCGATTGATATTAGCCACAAACGAAATGATATCGAGAATGAGCGAGAGCATAGTTTATTAGTTATTCAATTAGAACCGAATATTATTTACACATCACCATGTATTTCTTATACTATTTAAAAGACTAATAATTTAAACTGATTTTTTAAAATGAAATCCCCATAGAAACATGAACTTTAATTCAACTAACATGAAAACTATTTAAATTTTTTATCATAAAAATATTCATATATCGTTATAGACAAACGTTAGCAAATGATGATCGTGCTTCGGAATGTTCATCACAAGCTAGTTCTAAACCACCTATATATCCTTTAACACCAACAAGTCAAACACGACATGGTTATACAAATATTGGATTAAAACAACGTGAATTACGAACTAAACTACACAAAACACGATATGCACAATCATTAAGACAAACAAATATATCACCAACAATCTATGATTCTCCATCGTCACGACGTACACCAACATCATCACCACATCGACCACAAATATCAATGGTAAATATTATATTTATAGATAATTAAACAAATTAGATACTTTGTTTTTGTTTTTGTTTTTTTGAAAACTTTTTTAGCCAATGACATCAAATAAAACGAATGAATTAAATAATGAACGAAGGAATATTAATGATGATGATGAAAATGATTCACTTTTTAGTGAACTACGAATGAGTTTAATACCGAGTAGTAATTTTAGTCAAAATGATGCAAGATTACCACCACCGTAAGTAAATCTATATTTCATAAATTAAAGATATCAAATTAAATTTACATTAAAATGCTAAGTTTCTTTTTTGGTAACAGTCTAAAATGTTCTTTAGAGTAAACTTTCCTGAGAAATAGTTCTTCAAAGAAAATGTGAACTATCTTGATGATAATGTTAGTCATATAAACTTATTACGGACAATGTATATACTTGAAAAAAAAAATAGCATGAGAGATAAATTGAATTACTTATTTAATGAAAAGAGCAAGATGCATTCGTTGGTAGTGCTACTTCTTGAAGAATATCATTTATTCATAAAAAACTTTCACGAACAAAATGTTCGCTAATCAATTTCAAAGTGTCAGATCTGCCACCAATTTTTAGTTACACTGTTTCATGTCAGTAAAATTCATGCTACTTAATGTAGTTGAGATAGTGCATAGATGAGGAATGTCATTGAACCGAATCAATGAACTTTTCCTTGTTTAATTTAGAGTACCATCGAATACGACAAATAAAATTACTGAATCAAAAATGAATGGAACAAAAAGTAAATAAATCATTAAGAATGTTTATACTTTTCATTTATTGATTTAAACTTTTTTTTTTTTTTTTTTTTTTTTAAAGATTCCACATTACAAACAACACCAACAACTCTATCAATAGAAGAACGTCGAGTACAAGAATCATTAGATCGACTTGATCGACAATTGAAAGGTAGATATTTTTCTGTTATATTTATTTAAATAATAAAAGAAAAACAAAATAATTTTGTTTATTTTATTCAGAAGTTCAAGCAAAAGTTCGATCTAATTCTAATACAAGAATACAAAAGTGAGATTTATTCTTTTTATCTATATTATGTTTAGTTTTATAATTAAAATTTTTTCTGTTGATTTTTAGAAATCGAAAACGATAAATCTTGATCTTTTTTGTACAAATATAAATACATACTTACTTGTGTTTGTTTTTCTCTTAATTATCCATCTATCTACTTTTATTTGTTTTCATGGCAATAACGATTTTAGTGAACAAAAAAAAATGAAAGGAAATTTTGTCTTACTGTTATTTGCTATCCATCTGTTTGTTTCTTTTTTTAGATTTATTAATAATGTTTAAATCAAAACCAACATCAATGTTAAAAAAGAAAAATGATGATCCTGTAAGTGAAAAGTACAGAAGGTGGTCCAACATTGACTTTACCTACAAAAAATTGAATATCATCACCATATTTTGACTAAATTGACTGATTTTTTCACTTCTATCAAAGGTGTGTTCTAGTGTCTTATAATCAGATTGAGTATCCGACTCAGCAGTTAATGGGATCTTGATGTTTCAAAATATTTTTACTTTTTCAAACTGTTAATTTATATAAAAGCATAGGAGTGAAAACAGATTCGATTATAATTGAGTAATCTATTACACTCGCGAATAGGTTACAGAAGTCGAAAGCGATATTGTTTTACGAAAAGAATTTGTTTTTAGTGAAAACTCATCTACGGGGTGATGATGAACTATATGACGAAGTCACTGAATACATGGAGACAAAACATAAATTATCAAAGAGATGAACATGTATCATTGTGATGGAAAAAACATTCATATATGAATCCACAATTATGATGTTTGACACCAACAGTACGTTTCATTCCAGTGTCATCAACGACAAACAAATGTATACTTAGCAAAATTGATCGAATTTTAGAACCAGAAAAATACCAAATGAATCCTGAATCATTTCCTTTTTTTGCAGAATTTGAGATGATCTATTGTGTTTTGTTACTGTTTATGGAAGAAACTAAATAGTATACTTTTTCATATAAGCTTTGAATATCGCAATATAATTGTGAAAGTATTTGTCAGTTGTCGATTAGCTTCGATCCGGGTCCACTTGTGAAAAGTTGTACCCCGTGCATGATACTAGTGTGTTCACAGTTTATATTGGATAAAAACTATTTTGAAGTGCCACCCCTTGATTCCATGGAAAATAGACATCTTTCACGAATTGTGCAAACACAATACATCCTCTTGATCAAAATAAAAATCACATTCATTAACTGTTTTGTTTCTCAGTATGCCTTGAAATTTCAGTCACAAATATCGAAAAATCTGTTGAGAGAAAACTACTAATGTTTTACATGTACTCTTATGTGGGTAAAATTAAAATTTATTATAATATTTGCCTTGTTATTATTTCTTGCTATATTTAAATTCTTGGAATGGTGTTTTGTTAGCCATTGAGATAGTTTGAAGATGAAAATATCTCTGACTTTTCAAAATTTTAAGTAAATCAGATATGATAACGAGATAATCATCACAAAAGAATTCTCTCTGATTTACATCAAAGCATATGGGACACATTGATAGTTTGTTTCAACTAATTTTCATCGTTTAGGATTGAACTCGCAAGGCACAATGTGTAATAAAACATGAATCTTTGATGTAAATAAGAGACTAAACTACACTAGTATGAGAAACTGCTCGAAAAAATTAGCTGCATCGTTGATTTATTTTTCTTTTGGCCTATGAACACACATAATGGTGTAAGCCGATCATCTGATCCGTTGTCGCCACTGCGACACTAAAATTAATATTTGGTTTTTAAAAATCTTCCGACGCTTCTTCAAATCAGTTTTTGGAAATCCTACCGTTCGTTTGTTTTTGTCAATGAGTTCTCTACCAATATTTTTTCTCTTTTTCATTTGAAAATTTTTCGAAATTAAGAAAATATTTAGAAAATTCATCGAAAATTTTCACTTGCCATCGATTCATGCATCGGCTTACATTGCTAAACACATCTTTATCAGTTGTAAGAAAATCAGCATATTTGATCAAAACATGGCGATGATATTCAGTTATTCTTCTCGATGAAGTGAATTTTGAGCCATCCTGTATTTGCTTTTTTTTTTTTTAAATTTGTATTTATAATTTTGTTGATTATCCATAGGATCAAATAGATTCTGATACATCATTAGATAAATATTATCACGATGATGATTTAATGTCATCATCATCAACATCAACAACATCTCGTATGAATGAAAAAAAAAAGAAGTTCATCAAAAAAATTATTTTGATATATTTCTTTTTATTTTTAAACGATAGCATCATCTGAACCAAAGAGGATGTTTATTAAAAAACCAACAACAAAAAAAGATGAACTTAAAGTAGATTTAATATATTTTTCATATTATAAAATTTTTGTATTTTTTTTGTTTTTTCTAGTTTGGAGATGAAATGAAATTAACATTAACTGATGATAATGATCCTTTAAAATCAGGTATTTATTCGATATTTTCTTTTATTATTCGATTTGTTTTTCCTCTTGAAAGGAATAAAAAGACCATTAAATCCATTAGCAAAACCAGATGTACAATTTAGGTAAGATAAATTAAAATTTATAATCAAAATAATTTAGTTTATTTAAAGTTTGGTTGCTAATTCACTTGGAAGTACCATGCCGGGTGAAAGTAGGAAAAAAAAAATCTTTATTTTAATTAGACAATAGTTAAGAATTATTATTTTTATAGATAAAAAAGATGAAACACCATTATCAACAATGAAACTCGGTTCTGATACACTTGATGAAGAGCAAGAAAAAGCAGAATTCTTCCGAGTAAAATTTGTTTTTTTTTTTTGTTTAAATTAAAATATGAAAAAAGATTTGTTTTTTTTTTTGTTATTTAGAATTTGGAAAACACTCAAGGTGAAAAAAGAATTGATTATGGTATATTAAATCAACAAATTGAACTCGATTTATCACCAACACGAAATGGAACAGGTAAAATATTTCTTTTTGTTTTAAAAGACAGAAAAAAAAAAAGAAAAACTAAATCTTATGATTAACATAGTAATAAATTCATTTGATAAACAAATTAATCAAATGAGTACACCACTTCATCATCAACCGAATAATAATATTATTAAAGGTAATCATTAAAAAACTCTTCTTTATTTTTCAAAAAAAAAACAACAAAATTCGCTTTTTTTTTTTTTTTGTTTACAGAATCTTTATCAAATGAACTTGATCGTGAAATCGAACATGAAGAACAAAAAAAAATGAATGCAACAACTACGATTAAACATGTTACTATTGCTGAACCGCCAATTCGTCCATCAGCATCAGTTGATGATTTTAATCGAACAACTAAAACAACATCAGGTAAATTTTTCTTCAAGATAAATCATCTATCAAGAGAATTGATACAATATCTTCACTTTTAATAAGTAATAAAGTAATAATAAAATAAATATAGTAGAAGCAATTTATTTATTACTTTTATTTTTCTCTATGGAATAAAAATCAAACATTGTACAATAAAAAAAACAAAGGAACAGAGTCAGACATAGTCTTTCTACATTGTTACAAGTGCAATGATGTCCATTCGATGAATGTTCAGTGAGATTATCGATGATCTCGTGCATTTTGGCCGTTGTTCCAAATAATATTTTCAGATCGCAACGATTTGATTTCGTTGATACTCATCATTATTCACATTGTATACGAAACGTAGCTTCTTCGGTCAGGAGATTGTTGCTACTTTATATGTAGATATTATTTTGTTTACACTACAACTTCTAGCATGCATTGACGTGGTTGGTGATTCTGTGCAGTTCCAAATTCTTCTTACATTCTGAACATTTCTCAAAAACACGATTTTCGGTTCCATCCATTGAAGAACGTAGAATTATTTGCATTTATGTATTTAGTTTGATTTTGTTCGTTAGCCAAAGATGTTATATATCTTACTAGTAGAGATGGCTAACCTAAAGGCACAACTTTACACCTACTAGCAGTTCAAGAACGTTACCCACTTCCTTAGTGCAGTCGTAGGACTCTATGGATGTCTAAGACATTTTCAACCGCAGATTTATAATTAATCCGATGTTACATTGTTGAGAAATATCTTTCGACATTCTTCCAAAGACTTTAGAATCGCTTATTAGTTAAAAGAAAAATAATAAACACCTATTAACAAAAATTAGACATGTGCATTTATTATTCATTAAACTATAACTTAATTATCACAACTATTATTTTTTTTTTGTGATTATCATCCATAAATATCTATTGCGGCTGGACATCTGCCGTTGTCATAATAGCTTTCGAGAAATTCATTCGAAAATCTCTTCTGTCATTGTATTAAATTAGCACAATTAGATTGAGTCCATCAGATTTACCACAATTCTAACTGTTGAACTTGTGACACTCAAATCAGGTGCAAATTCATGCAACTTTACCATTTCTGTAAAAGAAAGTATCGCTGACACTATCGCAGTGGTGACAGCGTCGATATAGACATCTATGTTATTACCTTCAAAAAGACTTATTCAAATTATCTTACCATATAGCATTATTAATTCTATTTGTGCTCTAGTAATTTTTTTTGAATTATTCAATTGATGAAGGAAATAATTCTTTTATAACTTAACGTTAATAAATTTCGACGTATAAATAATAATCGATTTAGTTCGCTAAGAGATACTTTTAATGATAATTTTTTTTTTTTGTAATTTAAGACCATCTCATGTTACGTAAAGTACGACGTTGACAGAAGTTAATATCTGTTAATGATAGTTTTTCTCAAACTTGAAAAATAAAATTATAATAGGAATTCTGAAAGCATTATGGAAACGGAAATCAGGAAAAGTCGTTCTCGCAGAGCATTAGCTACTACAATAATGAATCTTTTTTTTTTGAACCGTATCACTCGTAGAAAATTGCCGAATAAACGACTATTAGCAAGTATATCATTACCTAGAGCATTTTTGTAATATTTCTTTTTAAATTAGGTTTTATCAATTTATTAATTATTCCTACATTTTATTTGACTGTTTATAATGTGTTTTCTCAAACTAAAAGCAATAAGATTCAAAGCTTTGTACATGTAAATGAACATCCAAAAGTAGTGAAAAAATTCTATACAAAATAAACGACAAAATAATATAATATTTTGCTATAAACAAAATGAATCGTTTACATTTTATTTAAAAGATGTTTTCTATACGGTTGGAACTGAAAACTTGTGTGCTAATTTTTCATTTTTTTTTCTCAGCCACAAAATGTTCGTTAGGTTAAGGACAAAGTCAATCGACCCGTTTTGATTGTTTTATTTTCTTTTCATGGCCACAGATATATATATAATGTTCTACCCTTTTTATGTCTATGATCATGAAAGACAGACAACCAATCAAGATCAGTTTCATAGGTAGCATGAGTATCAGTATAAAATTAGCGCACGATTGAGTGTTCATATAGAGATGCAAGTAAAGTCCAGATATGAAAGATATTAATAAAGATACAATACAGATATGAGAACTAATATTCGTCTAGTGTTTCAGAGATTATGTAGTGAAAATTCGAACAGTCTAGCTGATGTGTGACATATTGGATGCACTTGTAAATTTATTGTAAGGAGATTCGTAATTATTTCAATATTGTAATTACAATTCTCTTACCTGAAAGTACAGGATAACTTATATTACAAACAATGAATGCAAGTCTGATATGAATGATATGGACATGGATAAATGTCTTGTTTTTTAAGAGGTCATATGTAGTTATGAAAATTAGCATTTACGCAGTTTTATACAGACAAGCATTTGTTATATTGCTTTTCCTTAAAATTCATTTTATTTGATACTTGATCTGTTTGTTTTTTTTATTTACTTTACAATGCATTTCTTCTTTGTTTTTTATTACTTAATTACAGTAGCAGCTTATTACTTATTACAAAGTCACAGTACTTAGGGTTGATCACAAGTTCTGATGCCGGTGTTTAAAATTTTATAAAATATTTAATATCGAAAGCTTTTGTTGCATGAATACATGGTAGAATACCTCATCTACAATAATGTATATAACAACTCTATCTTGAATTTAATTCTAACATTCATTTAGATAAAGTCTATAATATTTAGGTCTAAGCAAAAGTTCTGATAACATCAAATAAAAATATAAAAAGAAAAATAGTTTTAGCTTTATTTTATTAAATGTTCAAAATAGTCACCATTATTATTTATAAAAAGTTCCATCCTTTCTAACAATTTGTCGAAAGTTTTTTTTTAAATTATTTTTTTGAAATATTCTTCACTATTTTGAAAACTTCCTGAGCTAACAATTCTTCATTTGCGTGAGCAGTCAAATTGCTCTTGAAATAATCATTTAGTCAAAAGTTACATAGTGCAAGATCTGGTGAATATGATGGATGTGGCATTTTTTCAATACCTTCGTCTGTTAATAGTTAATAATATCCGAATGAGTACGAGGGCGACCATTATCATGTAGCAATTTAATATATTTTATGCATGATGATTTTTCTTGTTTTCATATTTCATTGATAACAAGTTTGAGACGATTTTCCATATAATAGTTGTGATCGATAGGCTTGCTTTTATGTACACTAAATATATATAAGAACAGGATCACTTGATTCAAACAGTAAACGAAACAATCTTCTGGGTTCATATCTATTTCGATGAATAATAGTCCATGTCGGTTCATTTTCACTAACTCAGATAGCATTGCTTGCCTTTCAATCAATCTGTCTATGATAAATCCATGTCTCCTCATCAGTAATAATATCCCATAATCCTCATGTTCCATTTCGAAATTTTGCTAAATTTTGACGACAATCTCTAAGTCATTCTTGCTTTTGTTCGTCATTGAGTTGATGGACAACCCAATATGATATAATTTTTCTCATCTTTAGACAATCATGAATAATTCATTCTATTGTTCCATGAAAAAGAGAGAAGTCTCAGCTATAATATCATCATAAGTTGAATGTGGATTATCTTCAATAACTTGTTGAATACGTTCAATATTTTCATCTGTAAGTACTGAAACTGAACGACCAGCTCGATAGTCTTCATTGATGACATCGCCTCTCTCTTCACGAAAATGTTTTGCCCATCTTTTGACTTTTGAATATGATGAAGTGTCAGATTCCAATGCTTCTGTAAGTTCTTCGCAGATTGTTTTTGCATCTATTTCAAAAACAGTCCGAATTTTAATGTAGTATCGATTAAATTTACTATCCATTTTAAACAAACTAGAATTGTTATATATATATTATTATAGACGAGACATTCTGCTATGTATTCATGCAATACAACTTTCGATATTAACTATTTTATAAAATTTTAAACGCCAGAATTAGAACTTCTGATCAACCCTAAGTCAAAAAAGTACTGTTGTTATTTATAACTTCGAAATAAGTAATAAAATATCAAAATAATAAGAGTAAAAATATTTCTTAGTTATTTTTAAATAATAATAATAATAAAAATATAATCATATTGTAGCAAATCTAATTATAAAATTCTTTTCAATTAGATCAATTGACAATAACAAGCGATATGGCACATGATTTAAATATGTTACATAATGCTTATAAACAAAATCTTAGTTCTGCACCAACAACTCGTATATCAAGAACTCATACATTTGATCCACAGAAGAAAACACAACAGCAAAAACCGACAAGTAATGAATGTTGTAACAACACTTTGTTCCGTCTCCCAAAGAACACTGTTGAATTTTAAAGTGTTAAATTACTATCAGAATTTATGTGAGATTTCGAATTTCTAAATTATAAGTCAATTTTTCAAAGTCTCAAAAATCAACTTCAATGTGTAAAACGTCATCGAGTGTAGAAGCAAAAATTATTTCAAATACATTAAAAAACAATGCAAATATTTGTCTACAAAATAATACGAAAAATATTATTTTTCTGCACACTCTTTGTCTATAATGAACATCTTAATAAGAGTTGTCATTGAATTTAAAATACGACATCGGTCGCTCATGAATAATTTCCTGACAACATGTTGATTTTATCTTCTTTGATAGCGAATAGTTTTGCTTTTATTTTTATTCGATATTATATTATTAATATGTCGTGTTCAGTGAATGAGATTGTTACTACAAAAAAACAATCATTAGTTTTGTCTATTCAAAAGTAATTTTCGAGTCTTTAGAATAAGTAATTCATAACTCATAAAGCAGACATTCCACACAAGTTTTACACCTATATTTGGAATGACTATGAAATTCTAATTCAAATTGAATACTTTTTATTAAATTCAACAGCCTCTTTTTAATAACTGAAAACTAGGTAAATATTTTGTTTTCAGTCATACTCTCACTACACGTTAGAACCATCCGTTCCTTTCGAAAAACAAAAAACAATTCTCGTCAACAAAATGAAAATTGAATTAAACATACTGGAGGATTGCCTGAGTTCTATTCGCTCAGGAAACAACATGTTTTACAAATTGACACCTCATTTTTGATAATTTCCGTTATTTTCCGCTTGAAGAATATGCATTTTGATAAACTTCATTAGGATTCATAAAAAAAAAAGCTCATTCAACCATGATGAGAAAAATGAGAGAAGAGCAAAATAAAGAAAATTATCAAAAACGACGTGACCTAGTATGATCAACACATGCTATGAGAATCCGCCATTTGTAACATAATGTTGTACCCTTTTTCTTTGATGATTATTTATAAATCATATAATTATTGCTTTAGTTTTTGTAATGGCGCAAAATGATTAAAATAATTATAATTTATCATAATAAGAGGGTTGAGATAACTTACAGTTGATTTCATTAGAAAATTATCGAGCAAATCTACTATGTTTATGTTGTGGAAAATAAAACTATATACTTAATGAAACTCAACAAACTACAAATGAAGTTTATTTATACACAATTAAAAAATATATATGGCATTTAGTGATTATACTCTTCAAATCTACCAAAAAAGTGCCTAAAAATGCTAAAATATCGTAAAATTTCTGTTCAAAATATATATTTTTTTTCGTTCTATTTATGATTTTTTGATCGTACAAACTCGAAGTTTTCTGCGATTTAAACTTTTAGTTTTGATTTGAAAGAGCAAGTCAAGATTCAAGACATAATAGAATTATTTTGTTTTCAATTAAGCTTTATCATTATTATATAAAAGAGTGTTGTTTTGTTGAGACATTAAACTTATCATTCTTTTTCTTCACTTAAAAAAAAAGGCTCTATCATTCTCTTTCAAACAAACGAAAAAAATTAAACATATAGAATGAATATCGATAGAGGATTTCGGATTGTCACATCAGCTATTTTTGCTTCTTGTTTGATGAATATCTCTCTTAAACTTCATGATATAGAACTGAAAAATTTTATCATAGCCATTCCATTACTGTTCCAACATATTCTGAAAATTTTAGGTTATTTGAATATACCTAGGGTGAAATCAATTTTTGAAGATCTTCTTTTAAAAATTTTTCTTGAAACATTGATTCCATCATTTTCAATAATCTAGCTGTAATAAAAAATTCGAATCCGATCGATTGTACTCTCTTGGAAAATCAGAAGTACCCCAAAAGAGTGAAAATCTTTTTAAGTCATTTCATTATTTAATAAAATATCTTTAGTAATTAAAAATCTATCCAAACCAAATATTCAAACACCAGCAAAGAAAGGTATGAAATTTTGGAATTTTCTTTTTTTTCTTTTTCTATTCGAAATAATTCTCAAAATAGGATCACCAAGTGCTGTCACTCGACCAAAAACTGCACCCACACCAACACCAACACCAAAAGAAAATAAAAATGTATAATATACAATTCTGTCTATTTGACTTCATTAGTTTTTTTTTTTTTATCTTTTAAATAGAATGATTCAGCATTAATTGAACAATTAAAACTTGATAAAGAATCATTAATAAATAAAATAGAATCATTAGAAAAAGTTTATGAAGAACAATTACGTAGTATTCGACAAGAAAATTTTACTCTTCAAGCAAAAGTATTTTTATTTATTTTTATTTTTATTTTTTTTTTTGTAAAAGAAAATATTTAGATAACACAAGTAACATCAACAAATGTTGATAGAAAAAACGAATCTATATCACCAAAACAACGTGAAGTAAATGAATTAGAAAAATTAATTGATGGTTATCAAGTTGAAAATGAAAAACTTTGTAAACAAATTAAACAAATTGAACAACAACATAAACAAATTGAACAATCAATGTTTAATGAAAATGAAAAACTTCGTCAAGAATTAATACATACAAAAATGTTTATGGAACAATATCAAAATTCACATATGGGAACAATTAAAAAACAAGCATCAACAATTGTTTTAACAAATTTAGTTAATAATGATAATGATAAAAATAATATTTTTAATGAAAATCAACAATTAAAAAATGAAATAATCGTTTTAAAAAATAAATTAACAACCGCATTAGATAAAGAACATAAAAATGAAGATGATAATACTTTACGTTTAGTAGATCAAAGACGTATTAAAGATCTCGAAAGACAAGTTAAAGAATTAGGTATGTATGTTATACATTTGACATTCATAACTTTGTTAAATTCGATAAAGAAAATATAGACAAAAAGAAAAGCTATTCTAATCATTATAGAGATGATCTTCTTTTAGTATTTCAGGTAATATAATCATCAATTGATTTATTTTTGCATAAGAACGAGATGAAAAAAAAAACATTAAATTGTTAGTTTCATCCGTGAACGACATAAATACATGCCTAACATCACTTTAATATAGAGTACATACAATCTAAATGTTTGCGTACGAGTATTTTGTCCAGTTTTGAGTACTAACTAAAAGTAACAGACTAATTTCTTTATCCTATAATTAATACTTACAATAGACTGACGAAGGAAGTCTCTTAATTGATTAATTGCTTTTGAGTTGGGACTATATGCATGATGTAGATTCCAATAAATTATGAATATCCTGAAAAGTGCTCGGATTCTTAGCTGATTCTTGCGAAGATACTGCATTTTTTAACTGAATACTATGGTTCCCCTGCCGGAACGCAGGGAAAACTAATTTTCGACTTGAAACTTTGCATGGAGACAGGTCTTAATTTAAATAGTTTATTGTGAAAATGCCAAGTTTTTTTTTTATTTGCTTCTCTATTGAAAGAAGAACATTGAAATTTGCCAGTATATATGTACGATGCAAAAGACACATTTTTATAATGGCCGTATCATAAGATAGACACAATGAAAAGATCTGAAATTTTCACAATAAATTGTTTTCATTAAGATTTGTCTCTGTGCAAAGCATCAAGTCGAAATTCAAAAATCAATTCTTCTGATATTCCTAAGAAGAAACACGACATTCAGTTAAAAAATAACTTTAAAAAATCCAATATCTTTACAGGAGCCATCTAAGGATTCGAACGCTTTCCAGAATATTCATAGTTCATTCGACTCAAAAGTGATTAATCAGTTATAAAAAATTTCCGATAGACTGTAATTGAAGATTACCAAATATATTATTGATAAATATCTTTAACTATTTCTGCTTCCGACTTTTTTTTCACTAAAACCTTTTGTTTTTTTATTTCTTTAGAATTAATAAATCGTCGTCGTCAACAAAATTCAACAACTCAAGTAGGTATGGTATTAAATCCTTTAGATGATAGAAATCAATTAGAAATAAAATTAAATAAAGCTGAAGAAGCATTACATGAACGACAAATATCTGAAGAAAAACTTCTATATGAATTAAATATTCTTGAAGAAAAATATTCATTAATGAAACAAATGTTATCTAAAAATAATGGACAATCAACAATAAATAATGATCAATTTGAAAAAGAATTTCATGATATATTAAATAAAAATAAAAATAAAAATTTAACTGGACAAATTCATTTACGACGTGAAAATGAACGTTTAAAAAATGAATTAGAAAAATTAAAAACAATACAAGTACCAAAACCAGCTAAATGTAAAATTTTTGAAAATATTTTTTATTGTCTTAATTAGTTTTATTTCTAGCTTTAAAACGTGATTTAGAAACAATTAAATTATTACGATCAGATATTGAACGAAAAAATGATGAATTAGAAAAACTTCGTGCATTATATGATGCTGTTAATGTACAACATAAAAGTCTTCTAGCTGAACGTGAACGTGAAAAAACTCGTTTAGCAAGTAAGAAATTTAGATTAGATATAAAACATGCTGATGTTTTTTTTTTTGTTTTATAAAATTTTCGTTTAGTCATGGGTAGTAAACCATATCAACCAGATCGATTTACACAAACTTTATCATCTGTTGAAACAGTTCATGCAGAAAATGAACAACTTAAACATTTGGTAAATATTTTTTGATAATATCAACAACCAAAAAAAACCGGATAGAATTGTTATAATTTGAGTATAAAATCAAAGTTTCGTTCAAACTTTTTATTAGTCAACAGCAAAAATATTCATTCGATAATTGATGAAATATATGTGTGAATAGATTGAAGTTGTCACCTTCCATAAAGCAGAATTATGTTCACTATATCAGAAAATTTTTTTTCATATGAATTTGATCGTACTAAAAAGAAAAGTTTTTGTAATTCATAAAGATTAATAAATCAAATTTTGTTTATCATTTGAAAGTCAATAATTGAAATAAATTTAGCTGAAGTTTTGTTTATATATCTAAATAATTTAATCTTCATACTATCGACATAGATTATTTTTAATTCATTTTGAAATTTAGAATTTGATATTATAAATAAAAATAAAAAAATCTATCATTCTAATATTTTAATTATAAAATTAAACATGAAATCAATGTAACTTAAACTATTTTTATATCTCAATAGGATTGAGTAACATAAGAATTAAAATCTGATATATATTTATTAAAATAACTTCGAGTTCTATTTTAATATTCAATTAGTTAAATTATTTTTCTTTCGTTACTTTTCATTTTTTTGTTTTTTTTTGTGTTAAATTGATAAACAATTCTATACGATTGAAATAAAAAAAGAACCATAATCAAATTCTTCAATCAATAATATCATTGTAGATTTTCTCATTTATAATTTACCATGAAAAAAAAAACATGTTACGGCCAATCAAAATAGGTAACAGCTATGTCTATGAGTTAATATGCACGTGATTTATTGCATTGAATGATCAAATTTAGAAAAATGACATTAAACAATTTAAACTTTTATTTTTCACGATTTGATCAAATTTTTCTATAAAAACTTGTTTTCTTTTCTTTTAGGTAGAAAAATTAGAACATGATTCTCAACAACAATATACTGAATTAATGCACTTGAGAGATGATCGACAAGCAGCTGTTGTATTAGCAATTCGTGAAAAAGATGATGAAGTAAAAAAAAAAGAAAAACAAAACAAACAATGTTTAATCTTAATCTCTATAGTATATATATTTTTATTCTAAAGATTTTACGTCTACGTCAACAACATAAATTAGAATTACAGACGATTATTAATGAAATGTCTACTAATACAACTGAAACTCGTATTAGTGATCTTCTACGAAAAATTGAATTACAAGATGCAACTATTATTCATCTCAAAGTATTTTTTTTGTTATTTTAAAAAGAAAAAATGAAAAATTCATCTTTGATTGATTTTTATTTAGAAATTAACTGAAAATACTGATGAAAATGCTCGAGAATTAGCAATATTACGTGTTCGTGATGATGAATTAAGATCTACTGTTCATCGACTTGAACAAGAACTAGCTGATGCTCGAACTTATCATACACCTGTATTATTTTTTATTTTATATATATACATATTTTTTTATTACTTTTTTTATTATTTAGGAAATGAAACATTTTCAAGAACTTCAAAATAAAATAAATCAATTAGAACAACGTTGGTATAAACGTGATAAAATAAAAAAAGATTATACAAATAGTTTAATTAAACAACATGATTTAGATACAAATAATGATGTTAATAAATTACATGCGATTATTAAACAAAAAAATCAAGAAATTGAACGATTTCATATTGAACTTGATTCAATGTTAGAATTATTAAAAACACTTAAATTTCAACAATTATTATATAATTAATAGATCATAAATTTTCATAGTGCAATGTTTATGATTTTTTCTTTTTTTGTTTTTTTCAATTCATTAGAATCTCCATTTCATCTTTTTTTCTTTTCTATTATACTTATAAATGTTTCTTTATTTACAACAAGAAACAATAAATAAATAGATATTTAAATCTATCAAAATATTACTTTTATTTTACTTATATATATATATTGATGATTAATTAGATAAAGATGACAACACACAAAAAAAAAAAACTTTAATATAGATTGTTATTTTTGTATTTCAAAAACAATGACCTTCAATATTACACACACACGCACCTGCATATCCAAAAATTATTTCATAATATAAATAGCAAAGAAAAACAGAAAATGCTGTTTTTTTTTTTATGCTTTCAAATAATCATTTACCTATATTATATTATTAATCAAGGAAATGTGTTTATAGCAACACTTCATCAAAAGTTCTTTGAGTATTTCCATCAAATATTAGAATTTTGATAAAAAGAAAAACATGACTAGGAAAAAACAAAATTAAAGTTTTCGTAGACTTTGGAATTAGTTATTGTATAGAAGAAGAAGAAAAAAACAAGATTCATACATTTCTTCAGTTAACTGCACACATTTCTACTAATATGATTATTCTGAAAATTTGATTAAGTACGAAAAAGGTCAATAATGTAACGAATATATGATGATGTGAATACGCGTGTGGTATTTGAATAACTTTATATCTCTTTATTTAGATAAAAATAACTGAGGGTATATTAATACAAAAGTATGTGGGAAAATGTTATGACGAAGTCGAAGATTTGTTTTTTATTTTAACATGATATAAGCGATATATATATTTTTTTTTTCTATTAAAGTCTTTTTGCTTTTTGTTGCATTATATTATAATCAAGAATAAAATTATTATTCATCAAGTCAAAGTAATTTTTAATGATATTTCCGTAGAAAAAAAAATGAATGAAACAAAAAAAAAAAGTTGATTATTCACAGGAAATTGAAACTAATTTTCTATTAAAATCTTACTTTTATTTTAAAGATATTATGTAAGATTTTTATTATTAAGATCATAATAATGTCAAGATGAAATAATGAAAATTTTCCAATAGATTTTTATTTCAAGTGTTCCAAGTTTTAATGTTTTATTCACTTGAAATATAATATACTACACGATGATCTCGCCATACATAAGATATACATTTATTTCTTCAAATGACTAACTTCTTCTCGAGTATTTTCTACTAAAACTATTTGAAATATCTTTTTGCTTTTCTATAATGAATGTTATATTCTTTAACCCATAATTCTATTATCGAACTCTATTTTGATGATCAACAAAAAAAAAAAAATCAATCGTATTTTTTTTACTAGTAATCATTTGTCTTAAATCAACGACTATTAATTAAAGTAAGATTGAATTTCTATAGAAAATGCACTGAATACCTATACAAAAGATTTCAAATGTACGGAACTTAGTCTACGTTCCATTTCCGATTTTTGTAAAAATAGCAAAAAAAAAAAAAAAAGGTTTTTAAAACAAAAAGAACGTTCGTAATATTTCTTTTTATTTAACGGAACCGGAACTCTCAGGTGTCCAACAACATTATTTCCTAATCGTTGAATATTTTTATGATTGCACATAAAAAAAAACACGGCGAACTTTTCATTTCATTCATTCATGTTTAGTTCTTTTTTTTCCTCATAAAAAATAGATTTTACAATAGAAACAAAAAGAACAATCATATAGATAGTAGTGACATCTGTATAGAATATTTGATGTATGTATTGGTTATTATCTTCCTACAAAGAATTGAATATATGATTGGATATCATTTATTGATGAGAAAAAAAAAAAAAAAAGGAAAAAAAAAAAAAAAAAAAAAAAAAAGAAGAATCATAGTCTCAAAAACAAAACAAACACAGAAACAATAAAAAAAAAAGTCAAGTATAAAAGAAGGTCTTCTTCTTTTCTGTTGTTTCCTTCGTTTGACTTGTTGTAAGGAGTACTTGTCCGTTTTTTTCTTCTTCGTCTTCTCTCTCTCTCTCTCTAGTCTATTTTAGTCAACCAATCGATAATCAACGGTAAGAGAAAGAAAGAAAAGTTTTTATTAAATAAAAAACATATTTCAATTAATATTCATTTAACTAGATCAATAAAAAAACCCCAAAAATATATATCATATATTTTTATTAATTAAAAATTTTACTAGAAAAAAAATAAATAAATAAATTTGGTTATTTATTTGACGATAATTCGTTTATTATTATCTGATATTATTTTACTTATATAGTTTTGTATCAATTCCTACTGTTCACCCACGCATATTTTTCACTTAGTAACGTCATTATTATCCGTACGACACACGCCCGCATATATATAGAAAAAGAAGAAACGAAAGACGAGACAATCATTCATCGGTCTAATAATAACTTCAACTAGCAAATGCGACTTTATTTCTCTATATTGTCCTAAATTCTACTAGAAGAAAATTCTCGTGTCTTGCTTTATTGATATAATAACAATGTTAGAAAAGCGTTCGCGTTCGTGCTTCATTCTCCGTTCAAGCTGTCGCACAAACGCAAATGCTATCCGATTTTTTTTGCATTTTACATACAGATAAAGACGTTGACATAGTGTGTGAATAGTCACAAAGGAAAAAAGCCATTTGGCATAAGAACAAAGAGATACGCCAGCAAATGTGTCAAAATTCACATTTACTTGTCATAACAGTAACAATTCACTATACTACCGTTATAGATGAGAAAAAAAAAAGAAAAAGAAAAATTAGAATAAATTATTCTGAAAATTTTTTATGTATCTTTAATCTTATTTGGCTTTAAGGCAAAATGCGCAAAACTAAATTTGATCAACGTTGTTGTTGTTGTTGTTTTTCTTTAATGCAAACATAACGATCCTTAATCTTTAAAAACTCGTTCGTCATCATTTTAGTGTGACCAATGTTAGTGATGATCAAGGTCGTAACTGACTTTCCTTCTTATTCTTCTCTCTCTTTTTATCATCTCTTATTTGTTTGTTGAGTCGTTTTGGCTCATCATCTCATCTTCTGCTTATATGTTCGTTCGCGTTCGTTCTGTTTTCTTGTTCTTTTTATATATAGTCATATCTTCTTCTCCTTTTCCTTTCTCTTTGCTTTAGAGGATCGTTCTTTAATTTTCTTGTGCTATACTCTCACTCTTTCTCTCCCTATTTTTTTTTTACCATCACATCGGTCGGCTCATTTAACAGAACATTTAGACACGCGATGAACGTCGTCTTGCGAGCGTGCGTATGGCGAAGAACTTCACATATATATATATATATATATATTGAGAGCATACAACATAAAATTTCATCTTTTGTCTTTGAATGAAATAAAAAGGAAATGGCAAAAAAAAAAAAGTAAAATAACATGATAATAAACGTGTTGTCATCGTTATATTCCATATGATGAAGGTGAGAATATTACTATAAATCTATTTATTATTCTAGATAAGATGCTGTCGATGACAAGATAGCGCTGACAATGCTGCTTAGGGCTAGTCAGATAAATCAAGAACATTCATTGATTTTTCTTTTCTCTTCAATTAATATAAATCTATAAGACATGTTCAAGTGTTTTCCATTACCATTTTGTAATCGAAATTTAGAACAAGTTGATAAACGTCATTGTAATTTAACATCAGTACCAGATGATATTCTTCGTTATACACGTACATTAGAAGAATTATTACTTGATGCTAATCAACTTCAAGATCTACCAAAGGTTATCATTTAAAAGAAAAACAAAAAAAAATATGAAAATAAATCTATGAAATTTATATTTTTTTTTTAGGGTGTTTATCGTTTAACACAATTACGACGTTTAACAATTAGTGATAATGAAATTCAACGTTTATTACCTGAAATTGGACAATTAATTAATCTTGAAGAACTTGATTGTTCTAGAAATGGTAGAAAATTAAAAGATTTATTTTATTGTTTTCTTATATTTTTTGAAAATATGAATTTTCATTTTTTTTTTTGTCTTAGACATAGCAGAAATTCCAGAAAATATTCGTCATTGTCGATCATTACAAAAATTTGATTTTAGTGGTAATCCATTGGCAACTAAGTAAATAAAAATCAAAATTAAGTTTTGTTTTTTTTTTCACTTTTAAAATTTTTCTTAGTCTTCCATCTGGTATAATTCATCTTCATCAATTACATCAATTAACATTAAATGATGTTTCACTTGCAGAATTACCAAAAGAAATTGGCAGGTAAAAACAAGTCTACATCAAATAAATCCTATAAATATATAATACTTGAAGATAATCCCTATAAAATGACGCAAGAATGAAGAGTTTTGATTAATCTACTAAAAAATAAAAACAAGAAGAGTTATGATCAGACTTATCCATATTTTTAAAGAGTAGGAGGAGCTGAAAATTTGACAGAAAGTGCTTTCATTCTCATAAAGTAAAAGAACAAAACCCACTGTGATTCGGTTCCTCCTCGAAGATCTGCCCCAATCCTATTCTCCTTATTTTACTTTCTGTCAGACAATGGCAAATGGTGTTTCAAAATCAGTTGCTGTTTAAAGTTACCATGACCTTGCAAAAAATTGACGGATGGAAGCTTCCATAATCGAGAATTCTGGTTATGATGGAGGATTATTTTGCTCTGAAAAGACGAAAATCGGAAAAATAGTCATTTTTTCTTGTGATAGACTTTATAAAAATCTTTTACTGCATCTCAACAGTTTACAAAAGAATTTGTCACTTTGTAGAAAATTATTTTCTATATCTTCTAATATATTCGATAAAATTTCTTGGCATGTTTCAAACAAGTTTTATTTGAGATTTCTTCTTCCAATGAGTCTTCTCAAGATTTACTTATAGCTCGGAAGTCATAGAAAAATTCTAAACATATAATTCTGATTCTAATACACTATCAATGCATTCAAAATGATACGAAAAAAAAAAGTCAAATTTTTTTCTTTGTCTAGAAACTTTCGGCTTACTCTTTATATTTGTTAGACCAAAAAAAAAAAAACTAATAAATTCTTTTTTGTTTTGTTTTTAGTCTTACGAATTTACGTATTCTTGAAGTTCGAGAAAATTTGCTCAAAATTCTTCCTGAGTCACTTATACAATTAGCAAAACTTGAATCACTTGATTTAGGTTCAAATGTAATTGAACAATTACCACATAATATTGGTCATTTACAATCATTAAAAGAATTATGGTTAGATGGAAATGAATTGATATATTTACCAAATGATATTGGACAATTAAAACGTTTACAATGTTTAGATGTATCAGAAAATAAATTAACATTTTTACCTAGTGAAATTGGTAATTTAGAATCATTAACAAATTTTGAATTATCATCAAATCAAATTGAACAATTACCAATAACAATAGGTAAACTTCAACAACGTTTATTAATATTAAAAATAAATTCAAATAGTTTAAATAAATTATGTGATGAAATTGGACAATGTTTAGCATTAACAGAATTAATATTAACAGAAAATTTATTAAATGAATTACCAAAAACAATTGGAAATTTAAAACATTTATCTAATTTAAATATTGATCGAAATCAATTAACATATTTACCTATTGAAGTATGAAATTCAAATTATTTGAAATAAAAAAAAGAAAAGGAGAAGAAGAAAATTTTTATTTTTTAGATTGCTGAATGTGACTCATTAGGTATGCTTAGTTTACGTGATAATCGTTTAACACAAATACCATCAGAATTATCAAAATTAAAACATTTACATGTACTTGATTTATCGGGAAATCGTCTATTAAATTTACCATGTACATTACTTCAATGTGATTTAAAAGCAATATGGTTAGCAGAAAATCAAGCACAACCAATGTTAAAATTTGCAACTGATATTGATTCAAATACCGGTGAAAATGTACTCACCTGTTATTTACTTCCACAACAACAACATGTATCATCATCAATGGGTATGTTTGATATTTAATTTTGTTTTTTTGCGTTTCTTTGTTTTTTGCTTTTTGAATGAAAAAGCTTTTAACCTTTATTTTAATAATCCATTTTATTATTTAAATCATAAGTTGTAAAACAAGCATGTTTTTACGTCTTCATCGACGTCCTTTGTATATTTATTTTATTGATGATGATGATAATGATGATAAAACAAATGAGGGTAAATGATAATTATCTTTTAGAGAAATTTTGATTATCAAATTTTTTGTTTGTTTGATTTTTTTTTTCTGAAAATTCTATTTAAATTTTTGTTTATTTCTTTATTTTTTTAGAAAATCTTCTCAATCAATCAAAATCTCAAAATATAAATGATGAAAAAACAAATGTACCACGATTACCAATTTATTCATCACGTTTTGAACAAGATGAATTCATAGATGATGATCGACATGAACGTACTGGTTCAGTTAAATTTGCTGATCAAGCTGAAGCAAACAAAGAAGTATTTCAAAATTTTTTCTTTTTTTCTTTATTAATAAAAATAAAAACAAATTTTTATTTTCTATATATAATAGAGTTCATTACAACGACATAATACTCCACATCCAAAAGATTTACGAACATGGAAAAATAAAATGGCAAAAAAATTTCAAACTGATGGAAATTTACTTCATCATGATCATCAACATCCATTTCAACCAAATGCTCATACACATGTTGATTTTAAACGTTCATCTATATCATCAAATACATCAATAACAACACAACCAAATCGAAGTACTACAGGTAAATAAAATATTATTAAACAAAAACAAAAAAAAAAAGAAGAAGAACTTTTTATTTTAAAGATTCATCAAATATTGTACAAGAATCAATTAATTATATTCCACCTGATTTATCTTCAGATGATCATCGTCGTTATTCTAATGTATGTATTATTATTCTTTTTTTTTTCGATATTTTAAACTTTTTAGATTGAAATATTCTATTTGATTAGAATGAACATGATGATAATATCGATAATGAAATGAATTATATTGAAAAACATGTTGAATTTACAGATAATTTTGATAATGATGATGATCAAAAAAAAGAAACATCTAATCAACAAAAACTTCATCGACGTGATACACCACATCATTTAAAAAATAAACGTATTATTAATAAAAATAATGATTCATTTACATTTGATGTAAATTATTTAAATTATTTTTTTTTTTTTAAATATAAAAATAAGAAAAAACAAAAAATTTTCTTTCTAGCAAATTATGTCACATAGTCCAACAAAATCATCAATAGCAAGTGGAGGTAAAGAAGTAAGTATTAAATCATAATAAATTTCGGAGGAAAAACAAATCTTTTTCTTTTATTTTTTTAGTCTAAGATAAAAAAAAAAAAACGGATAAGTTGCTATTGACTTTTCGAGTTTTTTTCTTTCCTATTAAAGAAAAAAAAAAGAAAGTTTGAAGCTTTTATTTGCTAATTTTATCCCTTATTAATCCTAAATTGAAGGCTAAAAATAATAATCCTGTAGTATCTTATTTAAAGAAAAAGTTAAATATTATTTGTGTTTGAATAAATTTATTTTATTTTTTTCAGTCTATATCATCATCTCTACCAAATAATAATCGTTCAATGACAGTTCATAATGAACAAATAGTATTAACTGTTCATCGTTCACCTAATACTGGTCTTGGTATTAGTATTGCTGGTGGAAGTGGTTCAGCAGCTTACAAAGATAATGATTATGTAAGAAGATCTTATTTTATATTTTAATTAGAATAGTAATAAAAAAGCATTAAGCATTTTATCAGTGTCTCATTTAAATTTTCTTTTCTGAAGGGACGATTTAAAATTTCGGGAGGATGAACACTTGTTTTTTGTAGCATAGCTAATAGTACAATAATTTCAAACTCTGGCAGGTTTAGCCTAGTTTTCGGAGAGGTGCTGCGTTTTCGGTCCCTAAGCTGGATAAAACACCGCATTTTACTATGGTTTTTTTTTACATATTATTTCTCACATAGAATTATTTTTAAAGAATTAAGACTTAAAAGTCTTGGAAATAAAAAAAAATATGTGATTGAGAAATCAAATTTGATTAGTTGATCTTGTTCCTGTCGATCTACTCAGTTTTTGTAATTGTTTCTAACTAGAATGTTTGATTATTAGTATTTTTCAAATGAAACAAATCGAAATAGTTTTGTTAAGGTTTTTCGAAGAGAAAAGCCCGCTTTTAAAATCATTGCGGGATTAAAGTGTGTACATTATAAATCAAGTGATTCTGCAATATATGTTTTAGTGTCAGACTTCCCAAAATACTGATGCATCCGTAATGAAAAATGTGATTCGTAATATGTTATAGTGCGTTTTGAATGGAGACCAAAGACAACTATCTTATATTGAATTCTTTTTCATTATAATCCTATAGAAGATTTTAGATTCGTGACTAAGTCTGTGATGAATCATTACTAAGTTAACCTGTCGCGTCTGTGAGAAATGCGGAGTCCAAGTTTTTATCTCTATAGTTCAATACTCTTTTCAAATCGTGTTTCTCAAAAAATGAGTCGTATAACTGATATAATGTCAGCCGAATTTTGAACCGTGTGAAAAGAAAAACGTAAACCAATTCAAATTCAGTAATTGAAATTCATACATAGTATGAATAATAAACAAAGTGAATCATACGACTTAAATTTTTATCATTATCTATAATTAAGATATAATTGTTAAACCTAAATAGTACTTGTAATTGTCTTTCGGAAAAGAACTAACCAGAGAGAGAGAGAGAGAGTAATAATGTTTAGATTTAGTTCTTCGCATACATATATATTTATTGGATATTATCGTAATAATGAAAGCAACAAAATAAATATTAGTGTGAGCTCATAGTCTAGAGTATAAAGATTTAATATGACTTATTACATTGTAAATCCATAACAATTTCAATAAAAGGCGATTATAAGGGTTTTGATGATTTTTGACTGCTGAAAGGAAAACATGTAGACTTCTAGAGCAAGATTTCGTCTATCTAATAGTGTATACGTAATTAAGTCCTATAGTGCACCAGTGACATCATTTATTGATAGATGACTAGTACATACTAGGACTTGATAATGCATACACTATTAGATAAACGAAGTCCTTCTATAAAAGCGCATATGCTTTTCTTTCGGTGGTCAAAAGGAAGCGACGAGAAATTAAATTTATCTCGTTTTACTTTTATACTTTTCACGCTATTATGATTTTCATATTGCTCACTCTCTAATCTTTTTGAGTGGGCGTGTATCGGTTTTGTACCTTCGCTCACACTTCATACTTACACGAACACCCGAATGACGTAAATGAATTTTAAAAGGTGTGTAAGCATAAAAATAAAACGTGATAAATTTGATTTTTCGTATATATATGATAGTCAAACTCCTAATAGTCGACTTTAACATTTTGCAAATAGATTCTACATAATATTTATTTATTTGATGACAATTAATTATTAATAAATATTAAGTCTATAATGAAAAACTTCTTTATACATTGAAAATGATATTCGAAAAACGTTCTTTTTTTTAATTTTATTATAATTATATAAGAATTTGAGTAAATAATTTTATTTTCAGGGTATATTTTTAACTAAAGTTACTGAAGAAGGTCCAGCAGGTCAAGCTGGTTTACTTGTTGGTGATAAACTAATATCTGTAAATGGAATATCATTAATCAATTGTGAACATAGTGAAGCTGTATCTGCTTTAAAAAATGCCGGTGATAATATTGAAATGATTGTAATACGTGAAATTTTACAATCATCTGATGATAATTTAATAAATAATGAAAATTCTTTAATAAAAGAAAATGAAAAATATTCAACAATAATTCAACATAATGATAAACAAGATGGACCATATAGTTTTTCTATTGCTGGTAGTAATCAAGCAACAACAACAGATGGAAATGAAAATTCATATATATCAAAAATTGATAATAAAGATAATAATAATTCTTTAGTTACTAGTGATCGTCTTTTACCAATAAATGGTCATGATAAAACTAATACAAGTCATGATCAACCTATTAATATCATTAATAATGAAGGCAATAAAGTTGAATTAACATTTCATCGAGAAAAAATTGCAAATGGAAATTCAAATTCATCATCAACAATCATTGATAATATAATTGAAGTAATTTGTTTTTTTTTTTTTCTTTTTTTTATAAATAAATATTTTGTTTCTGTTTTTCTATAGGAAGTACATATAGAAAAAGGAAATGGTCCAATGGGTTTAAGTATTGTAGGTGGTATTGATCAAGCATGTCCACCATTTGGTATTGAACAACGTGGTGTTTTTGTATCAAAAGTAAATTTTGATATTATATTTAAGAAAGAAATCAAGAGACCATCGAGTATACAAGGCAATCGATAAAATAAAAATAGTTTTTGCTTATTGTTTATTCATTCAATACATCGATGTTTGAAATCATCAACACCGACTTTTTATCACTATCACATTCTTACAACAACAAAAAAAAGTATTCTGTAAAAGTTGTGCTCATTTTCATTTCAACGAATCATTGAAATTTTTTTATAAAATTATACTAAACGATAGAGAATTAAAAAAAACAACTAAACAACACGAACTATTTCAATATAAGATCGATTGACTCAAGTTTGATAAGATTAACATGAATGACAAATGGTTCTTTTATGAGTCTAATATATTTACTTTATAACAATCTATCTTCTGTCAGCATTCTAGATTAGAGATTTGTAAGCTAAATTTTATATGTATTATACAATATTTTATTCTCTACAAAATGGTAACAAAAAAAAATATTCAATACTAAATTCTATGTTTAGAATAAAATGAATTTACATAACATTCCTATTTGGTATTTTTTTGATGACTTTTCATTAGAAAAAGAATTATTTTTTGACAGTTTTCATTATCATGATACTATTCTAAGGCAGAATGAATATGACATTCATAATCAACGTTAAAAAACAACATTGAATCAATTACATTTACGAGAATATATTTTTTCCTGCAAAAAAGGTGACTCTGGGGAATCTAGAAGTAAAACTTTAATAAAGTATAGCCGTGGAGACTACAGATAATATTTTTACAGGAAAAAAAATTCTCTGAAATGTAATTAAGTCACTGTTATTTTTAACGCTGATTCTGAATGTCACATTCATTTTGCTTTATAATTGTGTCATGACATTGAAAACAGCTAATAATATTTCTTTCTCTATTGAAAAATACTAAATAGGAACAAGATATGAACGCTGTTTCGTCCCGAACATATCATTTTGTAGAGAATAAAATATTGCAAAATACATATAAAATTTAGCTTACAAATCTCTAATCTAGAATCCTGACAGGAGATAGAGTGTTATAAAGTAAATATATTAGACTCATCAAAGAACCATTTGTCATTCATGTTGATCCTATCAAACTTGAGTCAATCGATCTTATATTGAAATAGCTCATGTTATTCAGTTTTTATAAAAAATTTGAATGATTTATTGAAATGAAAATGAGCATTACTTTTTTAAAGAATATTGTTTTTTTTTCATAAGGATATGATAATGGTAAAAAGTCAGTATTGACTAACTTTTCAAAGAAAGACTATTGAAAGCCAAAATTTTGGTGTTGATAGTTTCAGACATCGATATATTGAATGTACAAAAAAAAAAAGCAAAAACTAGCTTTTATTGAGTGCCTTATATATTGTCATGATATTAGATGGTCTCATGGAAACTCTTAAATAAATAAAAAAAAGTTGTTTTTCGTTTTCTCTTTTTTTGTAAAAAAAAGATTCTTCCAAATGGTTCAGCTTCTCGAACAAATCTTCGTATTGGTGACCGAATATTAAAAGTAAATCATTTTGATGTATCACAAGCAACACATTTAGAAGCTGTACGAGCACTTTTACAAGCTACAAATGAAGTTATTTTACTTGTACGTCATGAACCACAACCATCAGGATTAAAAGTATATTTAAATAGAAGATTTTTCTCGTTTTGTATATGAATTTTTATTTAGGAAATAATATTAACAAGACAATCAGGTGAACCACTTGGTTTTCGATTAAATGGTGGTGTTGATGGTAAACATATGAATCCAGATGATCCAGAAGATGATGGAATATTTGTTACAGAAGTCTGTTATTTTGTTTTTTAAATTTTTCAAAAGAAAATTCTTGTTTTTTTTTTTTGTTTTTTTGTTTTTAATTTTAAAGGTAAAAGATGGTAGTCCAGCATCAGGTATTTTAACAGTTGGTACACGAATTTTAGAGGTAAGATAAAAATAAAATCTACTTTTTTCTCACCTCACTTTCTAAACCACTGCCGCCATGGTCGCAATGTTTTGCCTCATTCTTTACGTTTATGTATATGTCGTTATGTAGTTAAAAGTTTATTTATTTAATTTATAATTTTCATTTTAACTTATCCTTTCATTATATATAATAGTAAGTATTTATCACCAAATAGAAAAATAAAAAGATGGTTGATATGGTTATTGATTATCTTATTTATTTATTTATTTTATTTCTACATGAAGTGTTTCGTCTTTCAAGCTGCTACTGCTTCATGTATCTTCGCCCATATGCTTTTATACCACCAAATATAGTTATATAAATGTATATATATATTTATTCGTCAAGAATATCCATTATTCTAGGCAGTGAATTGTTCTTGTTCGAAACGATGGTTTTGTCTATCAGATAAATCATCATTATTGACTGATACATCATCATCATCATCAATATCTACACCTATTGATGATGTTTCAATAAAAGATTATTGTGAAACAAGTTTAGATGATATTGTATATTTAAATGGAATAATAACATTTGAAAATTTATCAAAACAAATCAAACATACAAGATCAAATGAATATATAAAACGAAAAAAAAAATCTTTAAAAAAATCTAAAAAACGACGAACAAAATCATGTTGTTTATTAACATTATGTAATTCAACGAAGAAAAAATTGAATCAAAAAAAAAAAGATATAACATTTACGAAACAAATTTTTGCTCCAATTGTTACATTAAAAGATTTAATTTCAAGTTCATTTTCTTTATCATCATCATTATCATTACCAAATGATGATAAATCAATTGTACCAGTAAATGATCCACCATTATCTTCAACAATAATGAATGAAACACCACAATCATCATGTAAATCTTTATTATTTGATCCACCATTATCAATAATTTCAACACCAAAATCTTTTCTTGTTCATTCCTATACATCTGTATCAAATTATCGTATAAAATCAAATATAAATGCACGTCAACATTCACTTGAAGAAGATATTCATAATGAAGAATGTATTTATTGTTCAAGTGAAAATGCTTTATCATTAAAAATTGATTCAAATAATAATAATAATAATAGTTTTGAAAATTTATCTCTTCAATCAATAAATCTTTTAAATGCTATTGAAATGTATTTGTCATCAAATAATTCATCATATGAATTATTTGATTTATCATCAGTATCATCTGAACAACATGCTACAATACAAGAAACAAAACAATTAAATTTATGTGAAATCAATGAAATTATTTATGCTGTTCATTCTGCTATTGAAAATGATAATGAACGTAATGAAATACTTGATTCTCTTGCAACATCATTAAGAGAAGTAGCTGAAGAAACACCACTTATTAGACAAGAACAACAACCAATAGTTGCTCCTGCTAATTTACCTGAACAACCTCCTGGATTTGGTCAGATTTTAGTTCGAGCGATTATGTATGATATTGTGATGAAACTATTTAGTTTTTATTTACTTTTACTTATGTGCTATGGACATTTATTCTAAAAAAAAAACTTTATTATTTTTATTTCTTTATATATATATATATATACATATTAACGAAATATATTTTAATGAATGAGGCGAAACATCTAGCGACAAATAAAACATTTTTTTTTCTTTTTTTTCTTTTCGCTTTATTTAAATTTCTAGGTTAATAATCAAAGTTTATTTGGTGCTCATTTGGATGATGCTCAAAAATGGCTTAGCATGCCAAATGAAAATATTCATTTACTTGTTTGTCATGGATTTAAATCTAAAGAAGTATATTAATTCTTTTTTTTTTTATTAAAAATGTTATCTCATTTTATATAAATAATATTTTGGGTTTTTTTTTTCTTTTTAGTTGACTTCTGTGAATAGTCCAACTTATAATAAAAGTAAACAAACGAAACCAAATGATGCTATATCACCTTCTATTCCTACTCGATCTATATTAACACAACAATTGATTTCACCAGTATTATCAACAAAACCGAATGGAGTATTAAATTCATCATCACCGAAAAACCAATCAATATCACCTAAAGTGATTAGTCCAAATGTAAGTTATTGATATAAAAACAAAAAAAAAATATTTTTTTTTTCAAATATTTCTTGTTAGTCTCCACAACCACCACCTGTTCCTGTTAAACCAAAATTTCGTCCATCGAATACACAATTTGTGCCAATTAATGGTGATAATCAAACAATAACAACAAAATATCATTCACCTTCTCCACAAATACAACCGCAAAATGGTTTTGAAACTGATGATGTAAATTTTATAAGATAGAATTTTTTTTTAATAATATTATTATTATTATTTTTTGTTTTATTTAGCTTGATATATCTATAGCTGAATCAGAAAAATCTTTTAATGATAAGAAAAAATTCTTTGAAAGTGGTTTTAGAGAGTCCGGACCAAAACCAAAACGTATGTTAGAACATTTTTTTTTATTTTATTTTTTACAATGAATTTATTTTATTTTGATTAGCTCGACAATTTAAATATATTAATGAACATGAATTATTACAAATGAAACAAGAAGAAGGTAAGTTTCGTACAGTTGTTCGAGTTCCTAACATCATGTAAGTGTTCCCAACGATGAAGTCAAACTTCTGTTTTTAGTTTCATACATTCATAACCATGTGACCCACCAATAGATCATACTATAGGGTCGTCAGACATTAAAATCAAAGTTTATTCAAAAATTTATTTGTCTATCAGGTTCTATGGTAGATGCCGTGGGGTCCAAAATTTTTAAACCTAGACCCCCTATCCTATGAGTGTTACTTTATGACACTATCTGCGCTAATAATTTTAATAGGAAAAAGTGTTAAATTGAGAAATAAATGATGGTGCTATGATCGAAATACTGAAAAATGCCGTAGATTTAGCAACAGATCTATTTGAGGGTTTTTAGTATTTTGACTTTGACATCGCCATTTATTTGTCAAATTAGAATTTTTTTGTTGACTAAAATGATCAGAACAGATAGCGCTACAAAGTCTAATAGATGAAAAGATTTTCTGAGAATTGTTGTTTATTATTGGCGAATATACAATTATGTTCCTAAATCTGGGTTTCGATCGATTTTCATTTGATATGAAGTTCACTTTTATTTGTCTTGGTTTTCAAGCTGAATTCCTTGAAAAACACTTTCAGAAATTCTGTAGAATTCAATTGTCTTCTATGCATTAAATATTGTTCAATTTTCTGTTTTCAACAATTCAAATATCTAAATATTTCAAAAAAAAATTTCAAAAAAAAGTTGTTTTTTTTCTTTCATCTAGCTGATATAATGTAATTATAACTAGGAAGAAAAAAAACATATGAAAACACTCGAACATGCACTGCTATATATGCTTTCTATGTATAATATAAAATTCTATAGTAAATAAAACTTATAAAGACACCCTTTAATTTTTTTAAATGATATTTTGTATAAATAGATTTCTTATATAGATTCCAGTATGTCATTAAATTTGACATATTTAAAATGACTCTGTTATTCGATAATTTATATGGATTATAACATTATACGCTTAAGTAAATTAATCAGAGATTCATTTCAAAATTGATGTTTTATAAAAATAGAGATTTTGCATACTCTTATCTTATCATAAAGGGATTTTTCTTCATTCTGACTTTGTCGTACATATTTCTTATCGTTACTTCACTCTGACACTGTAAAATATTTTTACCTTGTATATCTCTATTGTAAAATATGAGAAGTAATGATAGATTTATATTAAAAGAAGAAAATCTAAATATCTACCCAATCTCAATCATGTCATCACGAATATTTTCATCGAATTCCTCATTGGAAAGGTCAATATCGTAACTATCTGTAGTCCAAATTTCGTTCGATATCACTTCAAAAATATTGTTTTCCCATTAAGAATGTCTATTAAAGAGCAATTGATGACTTTGAATAAGATATATCTTTTCTGTGATAACTTTGATCAATTCATTTTGAAAATTTTTTTGTAGAAAGTTCCGATAACACAACATATCTGTTCTAAAAGTTTTACAACTGTAACATTTGAATGAAGTCGAGTTAGCGCTATGACATAGGTTCAATATTTCAAAGTGTATAAATTACTAAGATTTTGATCATGTATCACAGACTTTAGCGATATGAAGGTAGACAATGAGATTGCTTTTAGGCCTAGAAAAAAAAAACAATAGTAGCTTGTCAAATAATACAATGATAAACAAATACGTGTTTAATTGCATATTTCTCTTGAATATGTTTTTCGCAGGGAAAAAAAAACATGTTAATCATTACTCGAATACATGTAGCTTAATGCAGGACAGGTTAGTGTTTTGTGACCGAAGACTATAACTGTATGCATGCATCCGAAGTATTAATTCAATGTCATATAGAAAAGTAGAGCTTTCTGGGGGCGGCTATTTTTGTCCAGGACAGCTGTTTCTCAACACATTAATTAAAACATAATATAGATGTATTGATTTATTGTTGAAACCTTTTTTTTTTTTTTTTTGTCTAAGATTCAACTAGGTCTATTATATTTCATATGTTAAACTTCTAGGGATTTTTTTCTATAAGTTCTATGTTTCTGTTGAAGGCAATAGCTTTTAATAGAATTATAATAAATTATTTAATTTAATTTTTTCTTTAAAAATAAATAATCTAACTGACAAACTTCTAAGTAAAATAATAGCAGTTAAATATGATTCATATAATAACAATAATTTGAAGATTACCGAAATGCATTAATTGTTTAATCATGCATAGATTTTTCTTTTTGTTTTTTTTTTATTAGAACAAAAAATCAAATCAATGAGTCCTACGGAATTACTGCAATCTCGAACAACATATGATAATGATAACAATGATTCGGAATTAATGCGAACAACATTATCTCAATATCAAACACCAACATATCTTGCTAAGTAAGAATTTTCTCTTTTTGGTTTTTTATGCATAGAAAAAACGATAAGTTATCTATATATAAATTATCTTGTTAATTAAATAGACAAATGTCATCATGGGGAAGACGTGTGCGAAAAATATCGCTCGCGAAATTCTCTCATTATTTGTGAGTGAAATAAAAATAGAAATTTAATTTATGGGCAGCATTAAAATGATTATTTGTTTTTTTTTTTGTTTCATATATAAGAAAAAAATTATTTTCATTTTGTTTTGTAATTATAGACCAGAAGATGATGATGATGATGATGATATTATTCAACAACGGCAATCACGAAATATTTCTTCTACTGCAAGGTAATTAAAATTATGAAAGCATGATAGTGTATGCTTATATGCAAATTAGAGTAACCTTGTTCGAATGTGATACTGCTTCTGCTCATAATATGCTTTCGAAACTCACTATTGGTAATTCATTCAATAAAAAAAAAATATTAAAAAAAAATTTTATTTATTTATTCATTTTTTTTTCAGCAGAATCCGGTATGATTTAATGAAAAACAATGAAGCTAAAAGTGATTTAGTATGAAAAAAAAAACATCATCATCTATGCACGAAATATATAATTTGATCAAGTTTTCTTATACATATATATATATATATATATATATATATATATGGAATTTATTCTTTGTATATTGTATATAAATAGAGTTTTCCTTTTTGCTTTTTTTTTCTACTAGTGATGTTTGTCACTGTTTTCTTTTTTTTTGTTTCGGTCTAATAAATTGTAATTTGAAGTTGTCAGCTTGTTAAAAAATAAAATACAATTAAATATTGTTATTGTGCTTTTTTCATTCATGCATTCATTCATTCATTCTTTTATTATTGTTTGTTCTTAATATACTCGCATTCATTCTTTTCTTTTCTTCTTTTTTTTCTTCTTCTTAAGTAAATTTAATGCGAATTCATTTATACACTTGTTTTTTGATTTCTATAGAAACTAAAAGTTATATGTGTGTTGCTATATGATCTCCAAATGCGTATTCTTTTTCTTTTTTGTATTTTTGCTCTTTGCTAATGGTGAAAGGTGAAGAATTGAAAGAGAAAAGTGAGAAAAAGAAAGAGAAGAAGAAAAGAAAGAAGGCTAGTTAGTTGCTGTCAACGACGTCCGACGGTGTTTCATTGTGTCGAAATATTCAGTTGTATTTTTTTGCTCGTTTACTTTCTAATAAATATGGCATCGCAAAACGAAGTTGATGATATGATAAAGCGTATACAAGCAGCTAAAGGTGTACAAGGTAACATGATAATACAAATGTGCTATTTAATTTAAACGAATTACATGGACTTATAATTTATGTTCTTCCTCGTTTTTTTTCTCTTTTATGAAAAGGATTAATTATAATTGATTCGGAAGGAATACCTATTCGAACGAGTATGGATAATGAAACAACGTTACACTATGCGGCTTTAATTAGTCAGTTAACTGTTCATGCTAAACGTGTTGTTCGTGAACTTGATCCAAGTCAAGAACTTGAACAACTTCGTAAGGACAACGAATATTTCCGATGTTCTGCTAATTAGAAATCTGTTTTTTTTAATTACTTCTTTTAGGTCTTCGTTCATACAAGCATGAAATCATCGTTGCGCCTGAGAGTAAATATATCATGATCGTAGTTCAAGTGCCAGAAGCTCTTTAATATAATAAATTTCTTTGTGTTTTTTATTAATTAAATATAATCAAAAAAAAAACAAAAATTTTTTTCACCGGTGCAATATTCACCGACAAAAGAAAACTAGAAGAACTTAAAAGTACGTTTAGCAAAGAATATAATCATTATATCATTGAGTAAAAAACGTACAGAAAAATTTGAGAATGCAGATAATAATAATGTGGAGTTAATACAATGAGAACCGGCTCTTGTATGAATTAGTCATTATTATTACAAACACTACTCCTATAACTAACGAGCAAACTAAAAAAGAAAAAAAACTAACTTGTCGATCCACGAACGGTAAAGAATAAAGGAAAGAATAGTTGAAGATGGAGAAAGTCAAAAGAGTTTTCTAAGAAAAAAATTTTAACGATGACATTGTTGGAGTTAATAAACAAAATTCTTGATCATTGTTTATACCGAATACAACATTAATATCATCGATTGATGGAAAATCATCAATGAATTTGAATTTCCCACATTCAACTATATTATCAAAAGATGGAAATAATTCATGTGTGTAACCAATTTCTTGTATCGGTGATGCAGATGATGGTAAACTATCTGATGAACTTGTATGTGATTCACTTAAATCATTATTTATTTGAGGAGGTTGTTGAGCTTGATCAATAATATCAATTGGTTCATTTTTCATAATTGGATGACTTGTTCGTCGACGTTTTCTTCGTTGTGGTAATATTGTTACAGGATGAACTGTTGAAATTTCATTTAAATTCATACATTGTTCATTTTTAGCTAAAAAAAAAATAAAATAAAATATCAAAAACTAAAAAAGCATAAAATTAAATATGAAAATTATTTACATGATAAAATATTTGTTGTTGCTGAAGTATTTGAATTCATATTAGGCGTAACTGTTAATTTTTGTTGTATAGCAGTATTGCATCGTTGAAGATTTTGTTTATTTGCATACAGAACAAATTCATTGTATGCTGATGGGCTAAAAAAAGAAAACAATAAAGAAGATTTTCATTCTTTTGTTTTTGTTGTTTCTTTTAATATTAAATTAGTTTCTTACTCAATTAATTGAGCAAGAAATCCAAGTTTTATTGCTTTTCGTCGACCTTCAACTAACATATGTGTATTGCAAAGAAAAGTGAGACGATCACCATCACGAGTAAACAAATCGAGTACATTCATCATTGCACTATGTTGACCTAACACTAAGAAATAATCATAATTAAATTAAAAGAAACATTTTTTTTTAATGACTTAAATCTTACTGCAATTCTTTCGTGCTTGTTCTAAGATATTTATATGTTCAGCAGCTAAAAAACGATTGATTGATTGATCAATTAATTCTGTAGCTTTATAGCCCAATAGTGTTTCAGTACTAAAAAATTAGTAAATATTAATATAAAAAAAAAACAATGAATGAAAAGAAAGAAAAAGAAAACTAACTTGGATGATATTTCATTAATATATAATTGATCATTAAGTACAAATCGAAGTGTTTTTGCACTTGGTGAACCAATACTATTTGTTGGAATATTTGGTGCACTTGAAAGAATCTGTTCACATCGTGCAATAAATAAGGGTTCATGTTGCTCTTTATCCTCCTCATCATTAGTAAAAAAAAGACGACCTGTCATCAACATTGTCTAAGTAGAAAAAAAAAACATTCGTTATTTTTTTCCCTTTTATTGATTAATATTTGATATGAATAAGACTTACTTTTGTTTCAGTATAATTTCGACTAGGTCGTTTTCCACGTGGTAAATACCATGTACAAATAATTCGTTGTTCAATATTTGTTGATTTTGAAAGAACGTGACGAATAGATTCATGATCCTCTTTACTTACACAATTATAAATGCTCGTCATTTGAGAATAAAGTGATCGCTTGAAATACAAAAGAAAATAAAAATATTATAGTAGAAAATAAAAAAATTATTTTTTCATTGTTTCTACATACAATATTTTTACGTAGATAATATTCAGCATGATCACTCATCAATATTATACGACCACTTGTATTTAATACAAGAATAAAACCGTTAAGATCATCTTCTATAGAAAAATTTTCAATACCAGATGCTAATTCAACATCTCCTAATAGACAGATCAAAAAATTAGTTTTCTTTTTATTATTGATTTGTTTTTCTTTTAATTAAACTTACTATTAGATATATTTGAAGGCCAATATTTATGCCGAAGAAGGCGAGCTAGCGTCAAACTAAGTATATCATTTTTATTTAATTTATTTTCAACATTATCAATAGAAGGATCTTTAATAAGTTGACCTAATGCTTCCAGCGCTTGATTGGTTTGTCGACGTCGCTTATGTGGTGTACTTGTGCATTCTATTAAAGAATTTGCACCACCATTAGCTGTCAACAATGAACGCTGCAATATAATAGTTCATTCATAATAATCATATAAACATAAAATATTATAATATAATTTACCTTGAGAGTATTTTGTTGAGACATGCCCTCGATATAAAAAGTCGTTCAACGACAATTTTGTCTTCAAAACTGCCAGCAGTTGAAGAGAATACGAAAAACGAAAGGACTAGCGTATGTAAAATATGTGCACGCTTTGCTGTAATGCAAAAGAAAAAATGACGACAGTCAATGATTGTGTATAGACATCCCTACCTTTTCCATTTTCTCTATTTCTTTCTCTCTCGCTCTCTCTCTCTCTCTCTCTGAGTGTCGGTTGGTCTCTCATATTTTTTTTCTCGTCTCTTTGTCATCCGCAATAACGAGAGATTTTTTTTTTATTTCGTCGTTATTTTTATAGGTCTTATATGTAGAAAAAATATGAGGCGATTTTTATGTATCTTTCAATGACGTCGACCACCCACTAATGTATAATCGATGTTTCATCATATTCTGCTTTTCTTATGTTTGCTTTATGTATACCAATGAAACTAATCAAAAATATTACTTGTATAGAAAAAATAATAAACTTGAATAGTAGCATATTCAATGATTCAATCGTAATATTAATGACTCATTATTTTAAAATAAGAACTAAAAATCCTGACTTAATATGTATTCTTTTAGCTTTGACAATTATTAGTCGAATGAATTCGAAATGTGTCATAACAATATGCGTCATATACATGATTGATTAGAAAGCTATTTTAAAACAAAAGAGTACCTATATACATATATTATCCATATTATTATTTATATATTTAATAGTATTTCACACTTGATTGTTCTTGAAATATTTTTGAATTAATATTCAAAAAGGTTTACTATTGATTTCTCAATGTAATATATAATATGAAGAATAAATATTAATAAACAAACTATAAATATTCTTAATAAAACTTCTATTAGAATTAGATACAAATTAAACAAGAAATTTTTTTTTTGTACTTGAATATATTCATGTATAATTTGTCATTGTATATACTGGTTTTTGTTTTTTTGAAAATTACAATAAGTATATAGTTTACGGACTACATTACAATCGATAAATGATTTGAATAATAAATGACATAGTTTGACGTCATAATTTAAATCTTCTTACATGATTAAGCTTTATTCAAATACCATCAAAGAATACATACATCCCACAACTTCATTTTACATAAAGTTATTTTGGGTTTTTTCCTCTTTTCTACTTCAATAGCAATTCAAGTAGACATTTAGAATGATTTTTTTCCTTTTAACAAATTGGTATTCTCCAATACCAAAAAAGCTTTGTACATGATGACATGCATATTATATTTGTTTGATTTGACATTATTCGAGATTAGAAAAAAAAAATTTTTTGAAATAGTGCTAGTTTAATACTCTTTATACAAGTTTACTGGATTAATATATCTATATAAATATAAAAGGCAAATAATCAATATTGTTGATTTGAATAGTCCATTGGTTGGTTGAAGAAAAAAAAAAAAGAAAAAAAGAAAAACGAAATAAGATGTATGTCAAAAGAACGATTGCACAGAAATAAATGGGGATTGATATCATTCTTGCGATTAGTTTTTATTCCATAATTGTATTTATATATAAACATAAGTATTTTGATTGAATAATGCAAGATTAGTAGATATTTACTAAAATAAATAATAGAAAGAAAATTTTAAAATATCAAAAAATAAGACCTACATGTTTTTTTGGTAAATTAACATTAAGTCTCGTAGCTAATTGTCTACCAAAATCATCATCAACATTTGCTAAAACAGCAACTGCACGAGATATTATATCTTTATCTGTACATTGTTGTAAATGTTCAACAATATTTTGTATTAAATGAGCACGACCACGATCATCTAATACTTTCTAAAAAAAAAAAAAAACAAGGTAAATATTTTGCTTTTGTTTTTCTTGTTTTTCTTATTTACTTGATAAAAAACTCTTGGTTGTGAAAAATTATCATCATCATTTGCTTCGTGTCTTGCAGCCATACCTGATTCAAATGTTGCATGTTCAAGATGTTTTTCAGGTTTTGTAACTTCAGGTCCATGAAATGTATTTCGATAATAATTTGGACAACCATCTAAAAAAGAAAATCGAAAAATATGTTGTTTTACTTTTTATTTTATTCTTAACAATCGTATTTATCTCACTTTGATTATGTCCAACTTGCATTGCACCATCACGTTGATACGTACAAACTTTAACATTTTTATTTGTTTCAGGATTATTTACGGGAATAAGAAGATAATTTGTTCCAAGACGGTGAAGATGTGTATCAGCATATGAAAAAAGACGACCCTAAGAAATAAATATTTACAAAAAAACAAGATGTATTGAAAATTGAGACTTTTGTTTTTTTTTTTGACCTACTTGTAACATTTTATCTGGTGATGCTTCAATACCTGGTGGCATATGTGCAGGTGAAAAAGCAGCTTGTTCGATTTGTGTAAAATAATTTTCTGGATTTTCATTTAATGTCATTTTACCAACACGACGTAATGGAAATTCTTTTTGTGAAAATACTTTTGTTAAATCAAATGGATTGAATGAGAATTTTTGTACTTGTTCATGAGTTGCAACCTACATGCAAAATTAATTATTTTTTTTTTGTTGTTTTTTTGTTTCCCTATTTTCTTCTTACTTGAACATAAAGTGTCCAACTTGGATTATCTTTTTTAGCAATTGCATTATAAAGATCTGCTAGAGCATAATCAGGTTGTTCACCAGCTAAGATTTTTGCTCGTTCTGGTTCAACATTTTTAATACCTTGATCAGTCTAATTATTTATTAAAAGAAAAGAATTTAAAAACAAAAACCAAATTTTGAAATATATAAAAGAAGTGATTTACTCGAAAATGAAATTTAACCCAAACAAATTCATCTTTATCATTAACCATTTTAAATGTATGTGAACCATAACCATGCATATGACGAAATCCATCAGGTACACCACGATCAGAATAAAGAAAGAGAAACTAAAAATTTTAAAAAAAAATTGTTTTTTTTGTTTTGTTTTAAATTTCTACACATTTCTTTTATTACTTGATGTGTTGCTTGTGGATTACTTGCAAAAAAATCCCAAACCATATTTGGATCTTTTAAATGTGTTTGAGGATTACGTTTTTGAGAATGAATAAACATTTGAAACTTAGAAAAAAGATATTTTCATAAAACTTCTTATGTCAATAAACATTTACATACTAAAAATGGATCACGAACGAAAAATATTGGAGTATTATTAGCAACTAAATCCCAAATACCTGAAAAAAATAGGAATTGGTTTTTTTTTTGTTTTCAAAAATAATTTTTGTCAAAAAACAAAAGAAATCGAACCTTCTTCAGTATACATTTTAATTGCAAAACCACGTGGATCACGTACTGTATCAGCTGAACCACTTTCACCAGCTAGAAATATTTCATATTAAATCAAAGATTGAATTAATTATTTAAGAAAAAAAAAAACTATTCATTTTTTCAAATTGTAGTGCTATGATTCAAATTAAGTCGAATATTTGTTAGATCATATTGAATGCATTTAGATATTGATATGTTCGAAAGATTTTTGTACGAGTAAAGAACATGTTTTTGTTTTAGATCAGAAATTATAACATCGTTATAGGATGAAAACATTCTTTTTTGACTTTACAAGGTTCTTACTTACCGACGGTGGAAAAACGTGCCAAAACACGTGTTTTTGTACCCTTTTTGAGTACCTTGGCTTTGCAAATATCTGATATATCATCGGTAGCTTCAAATACACCGAACGCACCACCACTAAAAATTTAATGGATTAATTCATTCTTTTGATTCTTATTATCAAAAAAAACAAAGATTTACCCTTTAGCATGAACAACACGTTCAGGAATTCGTTCACGATCAAATCGTTGAGTATCTTCAATATAAGGAAAATCCGAAAGTAATAGTGGACCTCGTGGACCAACTGTTATAACCGTAGATCGTTCACCAATTGGACGACCATAACCAGTTGTTAATTGTTCAGTTTTCTTTTAACAAAAAATATATTCTTAATTAATAAAATGCAAAAAAGATAAAACAAATTTACATTTGATTTTTTGTAATCAATTAATTGATTGTCCGATGGACCTGGTTCTTTTAATTCTGGTTGTTTTGTATTAGCCATTATTATTGATCAAAGGAAACAAAATCTGTAATAAGTGAATGTAAAGAAAATGCTACGTATTTTTATATGATTATGATTATGTGGTTGAGGTCATCCAGTGCACTCTATTTTATCTATTCTCTTTACTAAATATAATCTTAACTCTTTCACTTCCGACATTTTCTCTCGTGCTATACAAAGTTGAAGAAAATCTAGATTTCTCTCTCCCTTGTGTTCCCTTTTAGATAATCAGCTGCACAAGAATTCTAGATGCACTAGCTCAGTGCAAAAAACACACGCGCTTCTTTGAATACATATGTTATGCAACCATGTAGAAAGATGACAGAACGCAAAATTTCTATGTTACATGCGGAATTGAAAGAGTTAATGATAAACAAGGTCTCAGGCAGTTAAAAAGTATAAATGAACGAATAGTATCAACTTGGTCACTATTTGAGATAAAATAACGATGTATGTGCACACAGTACATGTCGACTGTTTTACTGTTGCTTTTTTCTTTCTTTATATATAAATCCTACACAAATGTTCGCGTTTTTTCTATAAACGAAAATAGAAAAAAAAAAATAAGTAAAATTTTTACTTCGTCATTCTATATTGATTTTTGATGACAAGAGAAAACATACTACTTGTAAGAATAAAGATAACTGAAAAATCTTGATGCATCACCTAATTATTTATTCTGAATGAATGAACAAGTAATCAAAGTATAAAAATGAAATATAAAATAATTAAAAGTACGTAAAAGTATAACCAAAAAAAATTTTCAAATAAATTTATGTTCGTGCCATGTGTAATAGAGCATAGGATGTACTAGATAACTCCAAAAATGTAACCTCGAACGCTGCTTATGTATATACCAGGATATTTTTGTTTTGCTTGTTCTTCATCTATGGTTTTTTTCTTTTGCTTAGTACAGTCATAATGCATAATCGAAAGCAAAATGTTAATAAAAGAGGGCGCTCAAAATCACTTCTTAGAACATGAGCTATTTTCATTTCTTCAACAGAATAACGAATAGTTGACGAATCTTAGAAGGTTGGAAATTAATCCATTGTACACACAAAAAAAAACAATCGATTTTTATGCATCTAATTTGCAATTATTGATACTCTTTGGATGTTTAACAAGATTCTTATGAAAAGGTAGAAATAGAATTGAATTTATTGAGTCAGTATTTAGAAGTCTAGCAGTATAAAACTTCATTCTTCGTTATTAGAGATCTGTATCACAGTCACGTTCATGATTGCAATGCAAATCTCTATTGGTTATATATTCTATAGCATAGTAATACATCCTCACAAAAATGGATTTTATTGAAAAGAAAAAATCAATCTTTTTGTATTATGTTCAAATTTGTTATCTTGTATTATTGTTATGTTAGGATCACACAATCAAGTCATACTAAAAATAGGTCTTTTTTTTAGTATAAATTTATAAACCTAAGGAAGCAACGTCTATTATAATAAACAGATGCTGATGAATATCTTGCTCGCATAAAAAAAACGAACATCTTCTTTACGAATAAGGAAAGGAAAAACGAACATGTACCTCACAGATAATTTTGCGAAGGAACTGCAGTAATTATAAATATCTGCTTTTTAATATATAATTCTGACATTTATATATACTCATTTGTGAAACACGATCTAAAAAGAGTGTTGAAGTATACAGGTAGAAATTTGAACTCATTCCCCGCAGATCGTGACAGGCGTTGTTGATATACTATCTTTGACCGTATTTTAATAACGTCTGGTTCCAATATATGAACTAATTTCTTATTGCATTTTTGAAGGATTAAATAAAAGGATGGTAAAGATATGTCTTCCAAAATAGATAGAATTTAGTAATCTCTTCATCATTAGCAACAGCAACTACATTGTGTTTCACATTTTGATCTCACTAGGATTGCAATAATAATTTTTTTATCCCGTCAATAATTGCTATGTCTTAACTTTCATTGTTTCTATGAAAATATTTTCAATACTAAATCATTATTTTGTTCATGATGGAATTTTTGATTTTTAATATACTACAATTTCTTGATGTTTTTATTAGTTCAAAACACTAAATCTTCCAAGGTGAAGTTCGTTAAATAGAACACCATCCATTTCAACAAATACTATGATTGGTGCACCAGTTTCATAGTAAATGAAATCATCATTATTCGTTCGAAGATTTCTGATATAATTTAATTTGCAATCTTTCAAACATATTTGTTGTAGTGACTAGATTTACCAATAAAAGCATAAAACTCAGTTTTGATATTCTATTAAAAATATCTCTATATAGTAATTGTTGTATTTCATTTTTTTGAAAAATAATGTCAACTAGAATTAAATGAATTTTTTAAAGGATTAGAATATACTTTTCAAATTTTCTATGAGAGAAACATCAAGATTATAAAAAAATTATTTAGTTTCATATTTAAGATGAATAAAAGTTTAGAATAACCAACAAAAATAGGTACAACAATGTGAATTGTGCTGACAGTTTCTTCAACACAACAGTCAACTAAATAAATGATCACTGTCTAGAAGTACTTTAAATTCATAAACTTCACCATTGTTAGGTTACATTTTGTTATATTTTTTATTTTATATTGCACTCTTGATCTTTCTTTTGTAAAACAAATTCATCATCTTTTATTGTAGACATTGCCAAGACAAAATTCACATACAAAAAAAAAAATAATAAAATTGTTTTCAATGTTTTTTCTCTCATAATACTTTCCTGTTGATCAAAGACACATGCATTATTAAATGCTAATATTATGGTAGTCTATAACAATTTTCTTGCAACAAGAAATACTCTGAAAACTAGATCAATATATTAACATAGAATTAATCGAACTTTCGAATCTATTGTATCAATTGAATCATCAGCACAGAAGAGTTGACTGTGAAAAAGAAAAAAGAAAACATGGTTGTTGTTTTTTTTTGTGTAGAGTATAGTTTGCAATTTACCTATGTTGACTATCACCATCGAGCACTATGACTTTTGTAAACGTTTATGAAGATAAATACAATAATGTTGCAAATAAATTAGTTTTTTTTCTTATTATCAACTTCAACTTCTTTTACTTCACCAATATTAACAGTAAGTGGAATGAAACGAGTTACAACTGAATTTCGTGCAAATGTTGTATCTCCAATAGATAATTCATTAATAAATAAACAAACATAAAATAACAAAAATTGTACTTCTGTACATACTCATCGAAAGTGGCAGAAATTGCTTGAAGAGTAATTTGATAATGATTTACTGAAATAATAAAAACAAAAA